GCGTCAACTACTATCGATATCCATCTTGCCTTCGCCGCCGCCAGTGTCCAACTAACGGTGGTCAGTTTCCTAAGGTGGCGCGTTGTCGTCGACATGCTCCGGCTTATCTTCTGCGTGGTTTCAACCGCCAACCTGGACCAAGGTGCCGACAAAGCAAGGCCTGCACCGTGCTATGATGAAGTGGGTCCGGACATGTGTATGTTGCCACTGCAAACGGCACGTTCGTTGAGCTCGCCGCTCCATATCCTCCCGGACCGCGAGTACACCTCAGCTGGTGATCCGTCCGTATGCGCGCTGTGGAAACCATCACAACCAGGACACACAGTACTGTAAGCACTTGGGCATGCATGATCGCCGTGGTCCCAGTGGCATGTGTTTTTCCATGGCAGATATCCGCGGCACTCTCCGACTCCGAATCTTATCTTATCCACCTCGGAACCAATTTTCATTCCGTACTTCGCGGTTTATCCTCTTCATCCTCACCAGCATCGTGGATATGGTCAAGGACGGCCCCCATGTTGTTTTGAAATCGGAACATGACTCAAAAGGTTGATATTGAAGTTAGCCAAATGGTGCGTGCTATCGTAGCTCTGGATTCACGAGATTTGTCACCGCTAATGTAATCGTGCGCTATAGTCTTATTTCATCCTATCGTTCCCATAGCTGATGGGCGGTCCATGGGACGAAGATTTTAGCAATGTGGGTTCGGTAACAGGTACAAGGTGAGCACAAGGGTATATTTCTATAATTCTCTCCATCCCTTGGCGGCACGATTACTCGCCGGCAGAAATCACACAGTACCATACTTACGTATCATTATCATCTTGCAGTGTGCTCAACGAGCCAACGTGTCTTTTGTTCCGAGTAAGGAATACGCATGTGGGTCGACTCATGGCTCTGGTCTTAGTCGACAATCCCCTGGCGCGTTAGCGGCAACTCCTCGGTTTTGTCCGCCGTCGGAGCCTCCGCAATATTGGGGGTGCCTGGTGCGTTTTGTGCTATCTCACCAATTGCATGTTCGAGTGCCACGCATGATATTCTTCCTCGAGTCTTGATCGTCCTGCAGATTCAGTGGGATCTCCTGCTCTCAAGCAAATACTACGAAGATTTTTCATAGTGCAAGCTATCTTCACGCTGCCTTAAACACCATGCCTAAAGAACCCGCGTTGTTGATCATCACCACGCTAGACTGCTCGCGTCATGGTCACTCGTTTACTTGCCACTCTTGACCATGCCTGCAAGTTCGCCAGTGCTCTTCAGCGTCTGCCCGTATTAGGGTCTCCTCTTGTCCCTTACGATGCACTGGTGCGGTTCGGTGTCTTGTTTTCCAAACTCAATTGTCAGCCTGCTGTTGCTGTTGGTTACAAGATACGCCAGCAGAATTGACAAATTTGGACGACAACATCTTGACATAATCTATCAAGCCCTCGCGCACTCTCAAAGGACTCTCGAATTGATCCCTATCGTGTAATCAAGAACCTCGACACTCTCGGCAGCCACTGACATGATCATGCGGCCACGATATTTACATACCGAGTTGGATCGAGCTCGGTGGATGATCAATGATCCTGCGTATGCTATCCTCCACCTTTGTCCTCCTTGTTCGCGATTTTGTGCCCGCTCTTATGTCAGAACGAAACGAAACGAATCTATGCTAGTACAGTAAGTCACGACGTTGATACAACAGCTGCACCCTATTCGGTTTGGTAATTATTTGCGTTGATACCTGTCTCCATGTGCTAGTGGTCATCTGCCATCTTGTCATCTTATTAACTACACTTGTTCTTGTCTGCTCTTGTAGAGCTGGGACGTCCGACTCCCTAGCGGCCTCGAAACGAATTGTATTGATCATCGATCGATCGGCTATTGTCCTGCATTTGGACGCTCAGTTGTGGTTCCTGCTCTCGAACACCTCGTATTCTTTCATTTCCGCCCGTGCTAGTCAGTGGACGTTGCAAGCCATCGTCCCCTATCGCAAAAAGAGCACTCTTCTATTGAACACGAGCTCATCCGTGCCATGCTTCTTTCTTTCAGGCTTGCTCTGCTATCGTACTGGAGCGGTCTAGGACTTGGGTGCTCGGAGTTCTTCGTGCATTCCATCAGCATTCTGCATACCCCTGTGGTTCTGCAACGCGATTACAGGTTGAGCCGTGCGCGGTACCATCACAACCTAGATATCGTGACGGCCGGACTATCGTGTCTTCATTGAAGTACGCAGAAATTGGACGTACATTGAAGCAGTTTCGACGCAGCCAGGGAATCGGGATGGAATATATTCAGGCAATTTAGACATCCATACACGTCGTGCGTGCTATCTACTGTACTCTGGAACCGGCGCGAGATCGGATTCCACCATCTTGACATCTCCCCCGCAGACTTCCATATTCAGTCCCGCATCATGCCAACAGCCCGCCATGCGCAAGTTCTTCACGATCGACAGAGTTCGGTGCCAGCGGGGCCCCGCGTCGAGTCAATAAGTCGTGCATCTCCATACATCGTGTTGATGCCCGAAGGCCAGAAACATGCAGCGAATAAGTGATCGTGGATATTGCTAGCTTCCGTCCGTTCTCCGAGATGGGCTTCCTCATTTCCCAACTGGTCTCCCCTTATCCGTTTCCCCGCTGTCTTTCGCTACTCCGCTCTTTCACTTCATATCGGAAGACGCGGACTACTTGGGAATGTTGGGAGATTGCGGGGGAACTGCGATCTACTCAGTGTCAGCAGGCCGTTACTATGCATGTTGGGTGCGCGCGATGTACACCGTGTCGTCTGTTCCGCCGCATCTACACATCATTGTGGTGAGTAAACAGTGACTCGACTGAGAGTCTGACACGTAACGTTGTGTTGCTTACTCCCCGCACTATCCGAACAATTACAGATTGCTTCAATTTTTGAACAGATGTCTCTCTGAGCTGCTTGGACAAGGCAAAATTTGGCTTCTCATGTGCCAGCAGGGACCGACGTCCCTTCGGGTGCTGGTCTGTCAGCAAGGGCATCTTGCGTTGACTAAGTAAAATTTCTTCGTGAGCTGTTGTCCTTGATCTAGTTATTCACAGGGCCGACAATGCGCCGTCCCGCAATGTCTATCTGATGGCCTTGATGTGAGACCACACATCTCCGAGAAGACGCAGACGAAGTGCCGCACGACAAGGCGGTGAGGAGGAAGCGGTGTCTTCCCCTGCGAAGATTGTAACTTGTTAAGGTCAAGCGTAGTGGCGGTGGGCGCCGCTGTCAGTGAACGTTGACTAGCCGTGAGCGCCGATGTGAGCCGAGGATGTCCCTGCTGCTGCAACTACTGCTACTCTTTGCGGCGACTTCTGTGGCCGTACCTCGGTAACTATGGGATCTAAATGGACGACCCTATAGTTGCCGTACTCCATCTGTCAGCCTACCATTGCATTGTCTGGTAGGTGCACCGGCAACGCTCCTTCAATGAGTTTGGGAAGTCGGGCAACCAGTTCGCGCTGCTGATTACATACAGCGGATGCTTTACCTCAAGAGATGTCTTCGTCAGCTACGGCAATATGCGTGTCGGGAACACTACGGAGCGTTCGTGAGTGGTCTTTACTACCGTGCGTGCCCGACTCATCGTGATCTGTAACTCACGTCTCAGACTCGCTGCCCGACTTGAGTTCTGCCATGTGCGGGAATACTGACTTCTGAGTTCTATTGACCGTCTAATTGACTGCCGCCGCCGCACTGTGGTTCTAATGTCTCCGAGTCAGTTGTTCGGTCTTCAATGTTTTCACCGGTTGACTTCGTTCACGTCCTAGGTCGACTTGCATCGTCGAGCTGTTCTTTAAGGGGCCCTTGCCACACGTTGGCCTTCCCGAAAGGCTCGGAGAACCATGCTCATCGACATTTAGAGCCAATTTGTTTGTATGCGACTGAAGTCGAAGGCGTGTTGCTGATTGCTACGGCTACTTCTACCGGCTTCTGGCGACCTTTCAGGCTTTCACTTGAATCCCGCGAGTACTAGCGCACTTGTACAGACCGAACGCCCTCGTTCCGCACCCAACTTCGCGTACCGGCATAGCTTACTGTGCGTTCGCGATCCCGTTCACGTACGTCGGCCGCAGCGTCCACTGTGCTTTGTGTAGGTTTTATTTCCATGCTTGGTTAGTTGCTTCACCTTTACCACACTCACGTCGTTCAATCATCAGACAGATGCAAAACTAACCTTCACAAAACAAGGAAGAGTGAGACAAAAGAGAGGGTGCGGCGTCCCAGGCGCCTTATAATCACCGCAACGCGTTGACGGGATCACTTCCGGTTATCAAACAGGGATCAATGGATTAGCTAAGAGCAGTTTGGTAGGCTGCCAATTGCAATGCTTTTCGAGTTTGCACTTGGAACCATCGAATAATCGACGAATTACTGGGGTGTGTCTGCAAAATCTATTGCCTTCACTTCTTTCTGCGGCTTCTTTACTACGTCTTCTCGCCGTGCAGTCGAAGTTTCTATAAAGTGTGCGCACGGCCACTCTCACCGACCGGTCTTAGTGCGCATGATGCTGTCAAAAGGGTTGATTGTGTTCCGAATGCGCCATTCTGGTAATGCTCTGGTAAGTTGCTGTCCGTAGTGATTGCTTTCCATTATTACAGTTGCTTGACACGTCGAAGTGGCATGAGAATCCAGTCGTGCTGCGCAGAATCTGGTCGCTGTTTGCTTGCCACGCAATCCTTTGTTGTAAGCTTGAGCAGATGTTCCCATTTAGACAGCCTCTATGAGCTCTGCATTATTGGTGAAATCCCCGTCGCTAGCATTCGCGATGAAACATAGGCGAATTTGAGACTGATGAACTAGCGCTTCCCTGTCAATTCGGAGGGGGGCTGAAGACGATATCAATGCACAACGGCTCCTACGACTCGACGCAATACACATTCGCTACTTGAGATACATTCTTCACGAAAATACTTCTTTCATACAATAAACGCAGCACAATGCAATCCGCCTCATATTTTACACCGATTCAGTCGAAGGATAGCGACCATGACGATTTAATAATCGGGATCGCCGGTCTGCATCCAAAAGGTTGAGTAAAATGTGAAAGTCTGCCTAGGCGAAGGAACCGACCTTGCGCTCCTGTCCGCGCTGAGCCATGCCGCGATTGCCAGTGACTTTACCGGCCATTTTCTCCGCTTCGCCTAAGGGAGCAGAGTCAGCAGCAGAAGGGAGCCATACAAACGCGTAACGTACCCTTGATGCGGTCACCCATAGAAGCCTTGGTGCGTCCTGCACCTCCTTGAGTGTAATCGTCGTTGCCGAGGTCACCCTGGCCACCACCAGAGCGACGCCAATCGTCGTCGCCGGCACCAGTCTGAGAGGCGCCGCCTGAAGCACCAAAGGTGCCGGCGGTGGTGCCCTGGTAACCGCTGGAGGAAAGGTCCTCGCTCTGACCAGCGGCACCGCCACGCCAACCCTGGCCGGACTGGGTGTCGGAGCCCTGCTGACCACCGTAGCCTTGCTGACCACCGTAGCCTTGCTGGCCACCGTAGCCTTGCTGGCCACCGTAGCCTTGCTGGCCACCGTAGCCTTGTTGGCCTTGGCCCTGCTGGCCCTTCCAGTCGCGCTGACCGGTCTGACTTTGGAAGTCAGAACTCTGAGTGTTCTGGGGCTGAGACAAGTCGTCAAGACCGGAGTCGTCGAACTGGTTTCCCTGGCCTGCGTCGAATGAGGACCAACGCACTATTGATGAGAGAGGACTCACCTCGACCCTGGGTGCCAGACGGGTTGTTGAAGGGGTCGCTACCGCCCCACGACTGAGTGTTACGTTGCTGAGACATTTAAAAAAAACTTGGGATTTGGCAGGTGGTGGTAGGGGTGGTGAGTTTGTCGTAACCAGAGGAGAGAGGGGTATATATGCCCAGAGCGAGTGCAAGCACATGACGATGATGACATGGTGACGACGAACGAGGCCGTATTTCGATTGGCTGCGTCAGCGGGAATATGGAGGAATGAAATTGACCTGGCTAACGCGCAGCTCCAATGACCAGCGATGACCAGCTGTGGACAAGGCTGGAGCATGGAGCTTTGGAGTCTTAGGAGTGCGAACGTTCAACGACGTGACCTTCCCAATTCGGACCAACACTCGCCGCCACGTGGTCACGGCACTCTACTCATCTGACGTGTTTGCTATTACGAAGATTCTGAGACTGAAAAACCTGTCCTCAAAGTTTATGCGCCGAAAATACCGACTAAACGTTGTATCGGGATATAACTATTGTTCTGCCACTTTTTTTGTGGAAAAAGCCAGACTCTGTACTGCATCATCGCGACCAGAAGTTGTAGGAGTGTGAGTAGGTTTTTGTATAGACCGGAGTATGGACTATTGGAGAAAGGAGAACAGTCAGGTATGTGACTCTCAGCTGATTCATGTTGATGGCGGTCAACCTTCAGTCTATCACGGGCTAAAATTGTTTAGTATCCTGTTGCGTGTCTTAATATCATGCAGCATTGACTTGCTGTCGGATTGGTGCACGTCTGCTGGGGAGTTAGAGTTGAATTTTACAACTCAACTGTGATCCTCAGCACACAGCGTACGTCATCCACACTAGTTCGTAATCCAGCTGAAGCGTCTTGACTTTGTGCTATCTCACATATTCTACCATTTTCTAACCGTTTTCTAATGATAGGTATCGTATAGAATAGAAAGCTAAGGCTGCATGGAAGAGGCCGAAGAAACTGAGATTCCAGTTAACCCTGTCTATTTGACACTCTTCTCCGACCATCTGAATCGCGTCCGAGGACATCTGTTAGGCGGTGATGGCCCTGGTTCCCTTCCGGCATCATTTCTAGAACCCAACGCATACTGGACTTCCGCAGAAAAGAATGCGTTCTTCCACGGGCTCACCATCTACTCACGCCTTCGTCCTGACTTGATTGCAGCTGAAATCAAGACCAAGACCGTTGTTGATGTCTGTGTTTACCTTGACATGCTCGAAGATGGTAGCGCGCACAATCCTCACTCATCCCAGAGGCAGGACATACCTGCTTCCCGGGAAGTATCTGATCGCTGGCTCGCGTTCGAGGAGCAACAGGCACTTGCTCTATCCAATGCGGAACCCATTCTGGAAGAACAGGCGTTGCAGAAGACGCGAGATGATGAATTCAGGACCTTTCGGCTTGCTACCCACGCTCGCAAAGGCGATGGCCGCACCGCATCAAACGAGCGCGACCGTGAAGGAGAAAAGAGGCGGCAGAAGAAGTACAAGGCGTGGTTTGCAGAGCGACAAGAGGAGTGGAAGGGCGAAGATGTCTTGCGTGCTCTGGATACAGTTGCGATGAAGGCCCTGAATCGCATTTTGAGGAAGGACGAAGATGTACGTTGGCCGACAGCGCCGGAGCCCAGTGGACTACATCGCGCGGGGAAGGCGGACGATGTCCAGGAACGTGCAGGCAGTTCTACTGCGATTCCGTTTCTTCCTGTTGAAGCTCTTCACCGGATCGACGAAAAAATGATAGACCCTGTTCTTCGAGCCCAATCACAGTCTACTTCCGTCGGTGACAATTTTGCACTTCCGGCAGCCCCAATGGGCACTGTGGCGGGGGTGCTTCCTCATGCAATCTACGGAGCCCAATTTCGACCATCGACTCCACCTTTCCAGGGGACATCTATCACCTCTGATTCTCTCCGACAGTCGGTAGCTCCTGCTCATACCGTAGAAACCTCCACTTCAACCGTTCCCGGGGTTGAACAGGCACTTTCTCCAGCCTCACGTCGTCGTCTCCAGAAGCGGATGCATATGCGTCGGAAGAGGGCAGAAAAGTCGGGCAGCGTGGTTTCAGAGACAGTCGAAAAGCTGAAGACTGGACCAAAGAGAAAGAAGAGGAGGGGTGAGGCCGGTGCGTCCATTGTAGAGCATGCTGGCGGTGGCGACGTGGATCCTATTGAGCGGCAGCATGACAAGGTCGCCGCGGCTCGGAAAGGAACAGATGAACGTGACCAGCAACGAGCGGATGACGACCCTTCATCTTCTGAGGACGAGGACGTGAAAGGCTCTTACCGACACCCCCATCCGTCAGGACCCACTCTACCCGAAAAACTGCGCGATAAATACAAGGCCATGGGTATCACTGCCGAACGACTATACGAGGAAGGACTCGGGTTACTCCACCTCGGAGGACTCGCGAAGATAATGCGGTGAGTGTTAGTGCTTCATGGCGCTGATAGGATCGACTCATTAAATCTGATTTTGTTTAGGCTGTATAACGGATTGCGGGAGCAACGAGACGTCCCACCCTCTGTTGCTTCACAGATATCTGTTGATCTAGTTCGAATTCTGAACGCCCACGTGGTGAAGTTCACTACACAGCTTGTTCACCGATCGATTGTATCGGGAGAGCAGGAGAGGCTAGCAAAAATGCACACGAAGGTATGGGGATTGAAGAACAAGGTTCGTGGAACTGGGTTGTTACTTTCCTTATTGCGCCAATAATTTATCCTCTTCACGTCAGATTATCTCCCCCGTCGATGTTGAACATGCGTTGTCGATGATGTATTCTGAAAGACCCAGCAAGAAGGCACATTTCAAAGGACTCCTCGACCGTTTGGACATTGCAGTTGAGAGCGCAGCGGAGAGTGATGAAGAGGAGGATCTAGTGCGAGGCAAGGGCACCAAGAATGACGACAGCAAAGGTGGGAAACGTGAACGCAGACCACCTGCCTCGCGATCAGATGATTCGAGCTCTCCCTCACAGCCAGAGGACAACGATTCGGACGCGGATGCGGACGACGGGCGGGCTGATGCTGCGCAATTAATTGGCCCACCGCATCTCTCATTGCATCAAACTATCTTCACCCCATTCGTCCGCCTTCCATCATTTACCCCGTTGCCATCGGTCGGCTACTCTGCACCGACTGATCCATCCCTGTTTATGCCTTGCCCTACGTCAACGCTGCTATTTGGCACTGCAGAACCTCCTGTCGATGAGGAACTCATGCCCTGTGTCACACGCGGCGATACGCTCATGGCGGAATTGCTGGAAGATGAAGAACTCGAGAAGCATGACAGTATGGAAGACGAGCAGCACGAAAAAAGATTGTGGTCCAAATTCGCCTCGGACTCAGGAGAGGATGAGCACGATGCCCACGTGTCTAGCAAGAGGAAGCGAATTGAAGATTCGAGCGATGTTGATGAAGATAACGCTCAAGCCAAGCGGGACGAAGCCCAGGCAGGGGGCTGCCAAAGATACCGTCAACCAGACCCGAACGGACCAGTAAAGAGCCGTGTATATATATCAGACAGCGACTGACTTAGTCGACTTCCGATGAATCTTTTACTCGATGTGCGGTGAGTGTTGCGTGTATCATGAAGTGTGCGTTAATGTGGCTAACTCACATGGCTGGTTCTATTCAGGGAAGCCGCGTACTAATTCAATCCTCCACCCCAATACTTTCGCGTCAGGACATCTGAGCCCTAATGCCTCAAAAGTATGTGTAGTAAACGTTCCGGGAGCACAACGTAAAAATGTACTGCCGGTTCTATCTGATCCATATGCCTCGTCTAAACCTTCATAGGTCTACTATCACAATCTAGTTGAATGTATCTCATAAATAGTTTCCTTGTTACATGCTATATCTCTTGTCCAACTGTCGACGTCTCTACTTAGCTGGGATGCCAGCCTGGTGTGATCTTGGCCAAAACTAGTGTACGAATCAGACGAAAGGTTGCGTGCTATAAATATTCATTCTCATCATAGATATGTACCATGGAATATCGATCAACAAGTAGTGAATTTTGACTACTCAAAACAAGGTGTAAGAGAGCAAACTGATCAATTGCCAGTGGACCGCCATCCAGGCTAGGCTCATAGATACAGCCTCTAGTTACCTGCAGGAAGACAGTCGTTCCTTACATCCAGGCTTGGGCTCGTGGCAGGAGATTACGTAACACGTTTGGCCTCAATATGGAGATTCTCCCCTTCCACAAGGTTCACAGTAGCAGTCGTCCACAGTACCTCCAAATCTCAGGGCGGCGTCAAGCAAATTTCTCGACCTCCTCTACAATTGCACGGGAGCGAGAATTATATTCGTTCTAAATTTCTGCCCCTTCAAATTCCTCGAGAGAGTGAAACCAACCTGGCCACTCTACGCCACACGGTCACTAACTTCACCGTGTTCTGTTTGGTCGTGTATTATGAACTGTGGTATGAGGATACAGTTCTCCGAACATCATCATACGACTCTTTATCTGGCCCCAACGCCCGGACGTCCTAGTCCACTGCCCCGCTAAGGTAGATTGTGGCCATCCTTCCTGTTACCCATACTTCTCACTTAGCTTTCATGCCGCACTCTCCAGTGAACCACCAGAAATACATTTCCGAGCCAATGTCTTTTCCTCCTCAAACGACGCGATCATATGTTTATGGTGATGCTCCTGGGTACTTCAGGTCACCTATCGCCACTCTCAGAGAGTCTCTTGAAGACGACTCAGCGGAACATATCTCTGCTCATGATCTGCTCGAAGCGTACAGCGTTTTCTCAAGCCGACTGCGCACTATAGTGGCAGTCATCCCAGAGGATCAACGCGAAGTACCCTCGTTGAACTACGTTGCACGACACGCTCCCGAGGTTGCACAATGTCTCCGAAGGGACCTGCGTCGCGCTCTCGTTGATCCCGTACCAAACTATCGCTCCAGCAATGATTTAATACCCGAATCTTTGGCATTCAGGGATGCCACTGAAGATCAAGTCAAAGACGCAAGAGACGCGTCTTCTGTCTGTCATGGCGCGCTGCGATTGTTGTCCTATATCTTCCGGTTTAGCGTCTTGTCTTCAATGTTTACTCGTGCGTCCACTGTCTGTTCATTTCGAATAAGGAGATTGATTTACAGTTAGCGAATGATGTGGCAAGTCTTCTGGATGATGTCTTGAAAACGATTCGCAAATCCTCCCTTCCCATCCCAAATGAATCGAAAACAGTTTTGTTGACCACATGGGTAGTATCGAAACTCCGGCTCTCTACGATGGTGATGTCCTCGAAGAAGCAACAAATTAAAGACACTCTGAAGGCGGCAGTCGAGGGCGGGAAGCCAGAGTTATATGTGATCGACAGTCTGAAGGTGGGCACCCCGTGCCGACCTCAAAAGTAAAATAATCCCTAACATTAGTTGCAGGCATGTTACCACTTGCTAACTTCGTACCCTCTCATTTTCTTCGAACCTTTTGTTGAAGTTCTGCCACTTGTCATGGCTCGTCTTATTTCGCCATCAGCCGCTGTCCGCACACAAGCGGCAAACGCTCTTTCAGGATATGTGCTCGCCTCCCTCTCTGATCAAGCGCAATCCCTTCAAAGGTCGATGGACACCGTCAGACATCACATTTACACTTTCATCGACTCGCAGAGGTCCTCAAAGAACAGGATAGATGGTATCCTCCGTCTGGAGGACATGCTGTCTATCTCCTTGACTGTGGATCATCCCGCTGTGGCCGGTCAAGGACCTGTGTGGTGCCTAATCGTCCTAGCCTGCATCGCAACTTTACTTGCTGGAGAGTTGTTCACTCGTCCGCATTCTCTGAAGCTCGTGATGACATACCTGGCACGCAACTTGGCTCACCAGCGGTCCTTCGTCCGCAAGTTGCATGCATGCGTGTGGCGGTGCTTAATCTGGGCGTTCGTCCACGTTTCGCGAGACAACGATACACACTTCCATGCAGACCGGAGGATCATCTCGGCGTCTCAATCCTCGTCAGATCTCCGTGAACGCGCTTTCTGTGTCGTGCGGCAGGAATTAGGGCAAGGGACTGGCATAGCACTCGTCTCGTGTCTGTTGCAGCCGCCATTGCCGGCCACGCAGTGCGATATACCCTCGACCGCGACAGGTGATCTCTCGAAAGCTCTAGGCATTGTCAGAGATATGGTCTCGCATGGCTCCCAATCGGTACACTCTGAGGGCGTTGCGCTTCTGACAAGGTTGATTAGCTCCATTGGCACGGCTGCTGGTTTCTTGTCTCCAATTGCTTCGGATAGTGCACAGCATGAGGGGAAGATCATTGTCAAGGAGTTATTCGACAGGTCATTGCTGAAGGCAGATTGGGACAAGGTGCCACAGCTCGTTTCTACCATTGGCCAATACAACGTGGAGGAAGTAAGGCAATTAACCGAAGCAGAGATTGTGTGCCATTGGGAAGACTTATTTGAGATATGGGGGCATTGCGTGGAGCGAACTCTTTCGCATCATCAGCCAGTGGGTGCGCTTTCGGTACGTAAACCGTGATGTCTCTTCGAAATTCAGATATGACTTAATTCCGCAGAGTGATCTGTTACAAGTCTGGCAAGCGTTGCTCCTGGTCCAAGCGCAGCTTACGCAGGAATACGGACATCTTACTACCGCCTCCAGTTTTGCAAATCGTGCCGTCACTATTATCACGGATTTCTTGTTGTTCAACTACCACGGCTCATCCGACTCTTCTCAGCTGTGCGACAGACAATGTGCTCGACTGACATTAGTACGCCAATTATGGAGAGTCATGAAGAACGTCTTTACGACATCTTGGCTGATACCGACGGCTACTTCAATCTTGACCTCGGTGCTCAAGCAGGAATACAAGATCGATCGCGAAGACGTCAAGGTCGCTTGGAGTGGATTATGTGCTGCTTTGATTTCTGCAAGCGAGCCGGATCTCCTTGGCCGGCTTGTCATTGGAAATGAGTCTCAGAGGACGACGGAACTCATCCGACATTTATGGAATGTGTCTGCGTCTAAATGGACGACAATTGACCCCAAACCCAGTTGGCAAGATACAGTTTCCTTTCTGGTAGTTCCCCTCGGGTAAGTCAGACTACCAAATTCTATTGTTACTTTTTTGATATTTATGTCCAGTGTGTGGGTTATGAGCGATGAGGAGAATGGCGTGTGGAATGGTGTTCTTGATTATGCCGCTGTGTGTGCTGAGTCACTATCAACTTCATCACTGAAAGTGGTAGAGACTCTTGTCCTAAGTGCGGCGAAGCAGTCAAAGAGGTAGACGATTTCCTATCCCGGCCTTATTTTGATTGTATGATATTGATAACTGTGCAGCCTTCTAGCTTTCTCCAGAACCAGCCTCATCATTCTTGCTCATCTTCGTCCAACGGCCGCAGATATCATCTCCGCGGAATTATTTTCTCATATTAACGAATATCTGTCTGGCTTATATTCCCGTCAAGCAGATTTTTTGCAGTTGGCCATGGACGCGTTAAAAGACTTAAGAAGTTTATTCAAATGCTGTCCAAGGAGCCTGCTTATCCCGGTCTTAACAGCGCTCTCGGATGGGTTATGTGTCTGGATCAAGGACGAATCGGAAATAATGCTAGAAGAAGAATATAATGATGTGGTGCGTATAACCTATCTCGTGACCTGTTCGTACTGTATTCATCGTGGCGTCATAGGTAATGACCCTGTACACCGATACCCTAGACCTCCTTCGGGGTCACCCATTCTCTGCAGATACCCTTCGCGCATTGGCACCTTTCATTTCCTCGGGCTTTTGTCGCCTCGTACATCCAGCATGGGGTCCTGTAGCTTTCAAGGCCTTTTGGGACTCAATTAATCCTGGTATCGGGTCCCTTATTCACGTTCTCCCCGGTAGTATCAAGGAATGTTTGAAGACATATCAGGAAGCCTTTGGTGCAAGCTTGCCATCCGATATATCATTTGATTCCGAGTCATCACAGTCACAGTCACAGTCACAGTCAGATGTTAGTCTCGGAACCTACACTGTATCTTAAGTTGTGAACTGATACTTCCCTCTCTCACAGAACGTGCAACCTGAACTCCCAGCCAAGGGACAAGATGATGACCGGTCAATCTACCCTGTCCTCCGAGCCTCCGTTGTAGGTACGAATTCCACCAGAGAGAAGGGGGTCGTCGCTCTTACGTCTGCAACCGAAGGTGCTGATACTTCATCTACGGAACAATATCACGCTGGGCGCAATCCTACGTTCGCCTCGTTAGGGCTTACGCAGGATTCGCAATCGCGCAATTACTCAGACACGAGAGACATTAACTTGAGGTTCGACATGATTGATAGTCCAGACTCACGTCGATCCTCTGGAGTGGCCAGTATACTGTCTCCGGAAGTCCCGTTTGTTGGGGCTGGTATGGAGCACATAAATGCCTCACCTGGGATGCATTCCCCATCACCTGCCGTGTCTAACGCGATTGCTCCAGTTTCCCCTTTGTTCGATGCATCTTACTCCGTATTTGTGCCCAGTTCACCGACTCCTGCGAAACGAGCATCTCTTGTCCGAGGTAAGCGGCCACCGAATAACACACAGTCAGACACTGATAACCAATGTGATTGCTAGATCTTAGGCCACCCAAGCGAATAAAGACAGCTTCAACGGCAGACGGAGAGAACTCAAATGTTGACCCTAATGGGAAGATGTCTGGCATCCTTGCCCACCGTGCATCATTTTTTGAAACAACTCTGGACATGGCTCATGGTCGAAGTTCGCGCTTCGATTGCGTCGAAGTGCCCACTTATGCGGAAGTCAGGCGTATGCGCTCGCGGACAGGATCTGCTGCTCCGCATCCGACGCCTGGATACGCAGGTCCATCTATCACCCGCCAAGTGCCCCCCGCTCCAATCATTGCTGCACTGGACACGATCGACAACGGGGAAGCCTCACCACGCACGCCTAGGGCGATGACACCCCCGGCCTCGGAGGACTATGAGAATTGGGAAACTGCTCTGGACACGGCCCAGTTGCAGCGTATCCAGCGTGATCCAGGATCACACTCGCCAGGTAAATTTTCTTCATCCCCTCTACTATAACGTCGCTAATTTGCACCCTGGTCACCGACCCAGAACTAGATCACGATGAGTTCTCGGTTTCAGAACAAGGTGAGGATGACGCGTGCACCCCTTGTAGACATCGGAGCGTCGGTAAGGGTAAAAGCATAGCGAGAACAGCACCCCCGAATATTGCGCACGGTCAGATAATACTTACTGATGACTATGTTGTCGGTTGCTGATAAGTCACTCAGGAGATACAGTCGTCTTTTCCAACCTAGCTCACCGGGCCGATACCCATGCTCCCGATCACCCTGTGCCACCAGAGCGGTCCCAGACAGCTCCGGCGTTGTCGCGCGCGCTCGACCCAGCATTTGAAGTCGCCCCACCTCTGCGCAGAGCGCGCACCATATCGACCGGGATCGACGCTCTCCGGCAGGCGTACGACGCTGTGCAGGCGGAGGGCTCGCAGATGCCGGTGGACGAGATGCTTGCGGCGACGAAGCTGGTGCATGACATTGGGAGGATACTCAATGAGAAGCTGTTGCAGCGTTTGGGAGTCGGCGGCAAAGGCGACGACTGCTAATGGAGGTGGAGGGTTCGTGAAATGCGTGTGTGTCACGATGTATGATGGTCATGCTCTATTTTATTTCTATATTATCAGCATTAACGACTTGTCCTGGTATCGACGGTCTGGATCCAGTACAAGTGAACTCCATTAGCGCGTTAACGTATAGATAGACGACCTCCTACCTCAAGCGAAGACCTGATATCGGTATTCGACGTTACCTTCGCGTGTGAAGGTGATGATGTGGTCTACCCCGGCGTTCGAGAGCGCGTGAATGCATGAATACATCTGAACGCAGTAGAGACTTACCACCCAAAATGCGCGCCGTGAAGCCGACCTCGCAGTAACAGCTGCCCGACGAGTCAGAGTGTGTCCGAAAACGAGGGTCAAGCGACGGCAGACTCACAAGTAATACAGCCACTTCCTCCTGAACACCTCGATCTCCTCCCGCACGCCTGCATCGTCCGCGTCCGCGCCCACCATGCGCGGATGCTCCCGCTTCAGCGCTGGCCTCTTGATCAGCCCCGCAGCGTTGACGATTCGGATTCGGATTGGGAGCACGTACCTGGCACGACAACGTCTTCGAAGTGGGCCTCGAACCGCAAGCGCCACTCGCGGAGCGTCCGCGCATAGTGCGGGCCGATGTTGGAGACGGAGTCGACGACGAGCCGCCCGCACGTCCCGCGCGTGAGTGTCTCGATCAGGAGGGTGAACGACGGGAGCAATCCGCCCGGGAATACTGGCAGATCGAGGGTCAGTGTAGGGATGGAGAGGTAATGGGAGGAGAAACGCACTCTACTCAGGACCATCGATTCGAATGGGACGGAGCGTCAGGAGGGAACGATCGCGGAGGGGATGGGGATAAGTAGACGCACCCATTTCCTAATGAAGTCCGTGTCGCGCGTGTACGCGTCGAATCCTGACATATACGCGTACCGCTCCGTCGTCAGTCACTGGCGACGTTTCATGGACGACATAACGACTTACGAGCCTCGGGGATGGTAATACTCTGCACGACACCGACGCCCGTATCCTTCCTGAGCGCCCAGTCTATCTTCGCCCAGTATGTCTGTAAAACCCAAAGAGTCTGTCAGCTCACTGCGACACTGACGGCGCGCTAGGAAATCCACCCAACGTGTCTCCCAAAAGGGAAGTGGTGAAGGGGGCAGTGACCAACGCGCCATCTCACCTCGAGATACTCCTGCCCGACATTCTCGACCATCTCGACGCTCACGACGCGGTCAAATGCGCCCTCCCACCCTGCGGGCATGCTGCGGTAGTCCATCAGGTGCACCCGCACCCGGCCTTCCTCGCCCTCGTCCTCATTCCCCGAGGGCCCAAGCCCGACGGCACGCACGCGCTCCCGCGCGAGCGCGGCCTGCTGCACGGACAGCGTGATCGTGTCGACGGTCGTCCCCGGTACGGACGACGCGATATGGATGGCGAGCGCGCACCAGCCTGAGCCGATCTCCAGCACCTGAGAGCACGTTAGCCACGTCATCCCAATGCAGGGAAGTTAGAAGGGAAAGGGAAGGGGGGACCGCACGCACCCGGTGGCCTGGGCGGATATCGGCCTTGCGCACAATATGGCGAAGCTTGCACATCTGCGCGGCGTGCAGCGCGTCCTCGTTCATTTGCGCTGTGGCACCGCGTGGTGGCGTGTTGGCGGACGCTGGTACGGACGTCCCTCCGTGGACGTCGGGCTGAATATATATCTGGTTCTGGTCGGCGAGCTCGGCGAGAGTGGACGGCATAGAGACACCTGTGTCCGTGTCTGAGTTCGGATCCGGGGAGATAGGGGGAGAGGGCAGGGCGCCTGATGGACCGAGAGTTGGGGCAATATCGGAGGGGTCTGGAGTGGTGTCGTAGATGAATCGCGGAGAATCGACGGTAGGGCAGAGGTCCCCATCCAAGTCGGGGAAGATCGCGCAGGAGTAGGTCATGTCCTTCGACAAGAAACCTGCGATATACATTCGTCAGTCTTAGATGCAGGAGAGGAGAGCGCCAGGCTCAGCTCAGCAATTCTGCTTTCGCGAGCGCAACGGCAGAGAGAATTTGAAAGAGCGGGAAGACCTACCTTGGAACATGTCGTTACTGATATCGTAGTGCGCGCTGATGTTGTTGCGCGCGTTCGCGACGCTGTTCGCCAGACGCGCGGCGGCAAAGCGCTGGGGTACGCGGAGGAGGCGCGCGAGGGGGGTGTCGATGGCGGAGAGGCAGTCTCGGTTGGCAAGGAACACCTTCAGATAGAGATAGTTAGGAAGTGATGCACGATGAATGCGACTGGGTATATGCGCGAGTTAGCAATGCGCGCCAGACACGTAAAGGATGCATGAACGACGTCGTCTGTCGATGCGTTCATGAACACCTTCCATGATTAAAAGGTGATCTATAGTAACTTGGCGCAGTGCCGTATATAACCACTTCTGAACTTCGTCTGGGGAACGAGGGGTCGTTGAAAAAACGTCACGAAAGTTGCTCACCGAAAAAACATTGATGAGATAGTCACAATCGACTTCACCATACATATAGGCCTCGGAGAACCCGAGGTCACCCGTAGCGCATAGGCGTAGCCAGAAGACAGGACTGCATACCGTCAACTCCGCCTTGAGCGAGCCTTTGAGTGAATGCTCTCCTGTCGTTCTGGTATCGGAGGGAGAAGGGAAGGTATAAGTGCGGGAGGGGGTGTGGATGACGAGACAGCCGTGCGTAATGTTCTTGAGCAGGCTGAAGGAATATGGCACGAGACGTCAGCGACCTCGACTTTTGCTAGAGCAAGGTGAGACTGCTATGAGATACCTGACAACAGCTACTTCGGCTATGTTGCAAAGGGGAGTCTTGCAAATGGCGGATGTTGTATCAAGGACGCTCCGCTGCACGGTGCTCCAAGCGGACGTGATGAGGGTGGAGAACATCGCAGGACGAGACTCTGCAGCAAGCGGCTGCATCAATACTGGTCAGACGTTTCTAGCTCAGGTGAATTTCTGTGTAGACGATGGATTTTAACGTCTTGCGAACATATACGCACCTAAATCCAAGGGACCGCGCGGACTACAGCAACGCCAGATGGATAGAGACTTGGACGAAAAAATTAAGCAAAGGGGGACGAAAAATCAAAGTGGGACGAGCGGCCTTGCCGCGAGTCATTTGAGGGGAATGGGATTTCTACGCGGGGGGATGATCGCAAGGCGTCATCTATCGGATTGGTCTTTTCCAAGAACGATATACCATCTGTCAGATGTGCCAGGCCTGATATATGATAGCCTGACGGACGGTCAAGTCAGGGCGCTCCGCGACCCCACCATATGTGTATGGTATGTATATATCCCACTCGACGTATCCTCGGTAGAACTCAAGTTCCAAACGTTGCGGAGGAGTTGCGCGGGTCTTGCATTTGGAACTTGGCCGGTCGCCACCAAGCAGTATACTAGTAGGTACCATTGGCAGAGTAGTACTGCGCCACAGAAGAGCCTGAGCCTGCGGGTCACTCAGTGGGCGCATACAGGTTTGGCGGAGGAACGTGTTGGCGTGGGAATGATCCCCGATCGCGTTCATCACGTGCTCCCGTCCATCGTGGCTTAAGGTTTTTATTTTTTCTCAACCACCACACCTGCCAGCGCGAAAGCCGCGAGGCTCACATCGTCCAGGATGCCTTCGGGCATCCACATTCGTGAGCGGGCTAAGGTCTGAGCATCAGTCTCCCTCGATCGACTCTAGCTGGGTCCAGTCCTCACGGGCTGCGCGACGCACCACCAACACCGCTGCACCTCCGCGGACTCGAGCTGGTACACGCCAGCTCGCCGAGTCCGTGCCATCGTCCCGAAGACCTCGCGCCGCGAGCGAGAGAGAGAGGAATGTAGCTTTGGGATACGTCGTGGAGACTGGGCGGGCACGCCCCTGTCACCGCGGTCACCTCCCCCGTCGCGTACTCCAGCCTGGAGTGCGCGGATTGGCATCTAGTAACAAAACGAGTCAATACTTCCAGGTATCGTTCATATGAGGTATCGGTTGTGATAGCGTGCTGTTACAAATATTGCCCGGAGCTAGCTATTAGCGCGCTGTGGATCTTCGGATCGTCCACATTGGACGGGCGAGGGACTTGTGGGGCAGACTCGGATGATAAGTGTCCGTCCTTCAGCGCACTTCGCGGCTCACACTTACGAGACTTCGAGCCTTGTACTGGTGTGAAACTCGATTCAGACTACTCTCGCGCCGGCATGGTTGCCGAATTTTTGGCTTATCTTGTTCTTCGTGAACGTCTCTTCTTCCGCCGTGCTTTGAGCGATTGGAAGGGATAGGTATGTATGACTAATGTCTCTCGCGACTGCAGTTGCTCATTGCGATTGCGCGTCCACAGCTCTATGGCCCCTACATTGTTACCTGTTTCCCCACATTTACTTGTCCACGTAGTGCTTGTTTCGTGCTGAATATGGACCGTTACACCACTCTTGCATCGTTATCGATGAACGCATGTCCTCATGGTATGAAGGCGAAGGTCACGCGAGGGTACTGTTTGCGCTGAGATTCAAGACTTTGCGACGGGTTGAGTCTCCAATTTCGTCGCGCCACTATCGCGATGAGAACGCGGTAGCCTGGATTGCCAGGTAGGTCAAGCTTCTCTTCCGAGTGTGGTGGCTCGCAGTGGATGCCACTTCGTCTACGATCCTTCTAAACCGTTTTTGGAAACAGACACAAATGCTGCCAAACACATTTGCGCGCGTCTTCGTGGTCGCCCGCCCTTTGTTGTCCAGCGCTAATCACTATGCCCCCCAAGCGCGCCATTACTATACACAGCGACGACGAAGGGTCCGCCTCAGAGGGCTCCCCAGCTTCCAAGCGCGCCCGCACCCAGGAGGATAGCGACGCCGAGCTCGCGCCCTATCCCAATAAGGGCAAGGGTAAGTCCAGGCAGCGCACAAAGGAGGACGTAGATCTGGAGGACGAGGAGGAGGATGCAGTTGAGCAGACTGCACCAGACGAAGATGAGGAGAAAAGATTTGAGGAGGAGCATGTGGAAGAGATTTGGCAGAACCTCATGTCGAAGCGCAAGACACAGGGTGTAAGCGCTAGCACCGTAGTTATTTTCTACTCACTCAAACTTTGTGTAGAGCATCGCGGAGATGGGTATCATCGAGTCTATTGAAATGCACCAGTTCATGTGTCACAAATACCTGACGTTCCCATTTAAACCTCAAATCAACTTCATTATCGGTGAGTGCATGTGCCTAATACAAAGAACGGTTGTCTTATCCACTGTGCAGGCCATAACGGAAGTAAGTTCTATTCATGAGGCCCCGAGTTACATACGATGCCAATGTTCACTTGTACAGGCGGCAAGAGCGCTGTACTTTCCGCACTTACCGTGGCTCTTGGAGGCAAAGCACACACTACCGGGCGCGGGAGAGGCTTGAAGTCATTTATTCGTGAAGGTCAATCGTGCGTCGTGTTGAGCTCCACTTACGTGCCGATACAGTCCTCAACCGGTGTTCTCCAGGGTAGCCGAGGTTACTGTTTGTCTCAAGAATCAGGGCGAAGAAGCTTACAGGCCCAAAGATTATGGCAAGACTATCGTTATTACTCGCCGTTTCACCAGGCAAGGATCTTCTAGTTACAAAATTAAAAGCAACGAAGGGAAGGTCATCTCTACCAAGCGAGAAGAGCTGTCCGCTATCTGTGATCACATGAATACCCAGGTTGACAATCCTATGAACATTCTCAATCAAGGTGCATATAATCGTTTCCCTTCCTTCCGCATTTACTGACATTTGACGACAGATGCTGCCAGGCAGGCGATCAGGTCACACTAATATTATCCCGTAGTTATCTAATCCGTTCTTCAGGCAATTTTTGGGCGCATCACAGCGTACAGACAAATACAAGGTAGAAGTTCATTTCGACGTTTCTGACAGCACGCTAAAATTCTCCGTTCGCACAGTTCTTCCTCCGTGGCACGCAACTCAGCCAGTTGAGCGAGGAATACGAAACGTGTTTGGAGAACATCCGTCAAACTAGGAAGGTTCTGAAGCGCAAATCGGAAGCCATTCCAGATTTGCAAGATGCGTTGGAAGAAGCGACTGCGCGCTTTCGGGAGGCCAACAAAGCCCGAGAGCAGAAGCACAAGGCCGATGAGTTGAAGAAGGAGCTTGCGTGGGCCCATGTTCAGACCAAGCAGAACGTAAGTCTGTACCGTGTTCTCATGTATCATGCAGATTCATCGCGGATTTCCAGGAACTACAAGGAAAGCTCGAGGAAGCAGCCAAACTATCTCGTCGCGTGACGAAGATCAAAGAGCAGATCGCTACTGCTAATGTACGCTTCCTTGCGCTGCGATGCACGTATCTTCACTAATGGACTTGCGCAGAGAATGTTCGAAGACAGTTCACAATTTGTTCAGGCTTACGAGGAGGAAAACCAGAACCTTGGTTCCATTGAGCACCTGCAAGCGAAGAGGGAGGAGATAACTTCCAAAATGAGGACAAACAAGCAGAAGCTGGTGACCATGAACGTATGTGTTGTGTCCACCTTCTCCTACCGTTTTGCACACTAACTCCGTTGCTGGATCTTCGCAGAATGAAGAAATGGACATGCTTAGGGGCTTGAAATTGGTCAACGATGCAATTGAAGGACTTGATGTGAGAATCCAGGAAGAAGTGAGGAAGGACGAGGATGCTAGCAAGGAAAGGCGGGACGATCTGAACCGTCGGCTGGAAGAGGTGAAAGTTTCATGCGACCGGGTTGAACGACAGCTCCAAGACATCAAGGACGAGCGCCAGCAGAAGATTCCAGAGATCGAGAATATCAAGCAGGACATACAGAAACTGAATCAAGAACGTGAGCAGCTCCAACATAGCATCGTAGAGTGCCGAAAGCAAGTGCGGATTTGCGTTGAGCGCGAGCGCAACAAAGCCGCGAGGTTTGGGGCGAACATGGACAGAGTGATGGCAGATATCCAACGAACGAGGTGGCATGGGAACAGACCTGTCGGGCCCTTTGGATTGTTCGTTAGCGTCAAAGATCCGGCTCAGTGGGCTCCGATTATACGCATTCAACTTGGGGCTCTTATGAGTGGGTTTGCGGTTACTGACGCTCGGGATCGCGAACCACTCAATAAGTTGTTGATTGACCACGGCAAGTGAGTGTTACTTTATCCTGGAGGCGAGGATTTGCTGATAGAGATGAATCAAAGCCAGAAGCCTTCCATTACCATCTCCGAGGTTGACTTGTTCGACTATAGTTCGGGAGAACCACCGGAGGGATACCTCACTGTTTTGCGCGCTCTAGAGGTATGAATGCTCCAATAACTTGGCGTTGCATATGATTATCTTGCATGTTAGATCTCTGACGAGTACGTCCTGCGTATCTTGATTAATCGAGCACACATCGAGAGTACGTTCCTTGCTCCTACCCGTTTGGATGCGGATGGCGTCTTGTTACAGTATGGACGCAGTGGAACGGCTTGGTCGGCCGATCTGTACAACGTTAGCCGGTTCCCGTGAGTACTCCATATTGTCTTCTCCCGTGAACATCGATTGAGCGCTGCACAGTGAGGGGGGTGGACAGTCGTCTGCAGTTCGTGCGCTTCGCATGGGTGACCCAAAGCAACAACTATTCACCGGCGATGATGCCACAGCGGATAAGCAGTGAGTCACGATAATTGCCATTCATCCATGTTCGTCTAACCGTGACCCGTCCAGACGTTGGCAAGAACATGGGGTGAAGCTCGAACAGCGGTACAACACGATGAACCAGCAGATAGATCAGCTCAAGCAGATGGAGACGCAAAAGGACAAGGAAGCCCAAAGCCTTGCTGTTTGTAACCAGTTAATACGGCCAGTATTTGTCGCGTACTCACTCGCATTTGTGCAGAAACTAGAGGGTGATATGTTGCGACGATCCAGAGAACTGAAGGACCAGCATGATTCCCTCCAAATCCAAGTCAACAACGATATGCCCGTTGAAATTTCTGGACTCCAGGATTCCAGAGTTGTGTGTAGCTGTCTGCAGGACTTCGCTTATTCGTTTCTGACACGCTCTACTGGAACACAGGGATTCGTGAAGGAAAAGGAGGCCTATGAAAGCCAGTGGCAGACTCTCGACAAAGAGAGGAAGGAAGTTAACGAAGCCCAGCGTCCGTTACTGGAGGAAGCCAATGCTATTAAGACGCAGATTGAGGAGTTTGTGGAGCTACAAGCTGGCATACAGGTCCATGCTTCTGACACCACCTGTACAAAGCATACACTGACGGCTACCTCTAGAACAAAATTGGTGTTGAGGTGGAAAGACGGCTGAATGCGCAGAGCAAGTCAAAGCATTACCAGGAGAAACTTCAGGCTGACGAGGTCGAGGTCGCCTCCGCTGAGGATGTAGTGAAGACTTTACAGACCGAGTTTGAGGTAAGCTGTAACCTGCTTCAACGACTCGACGTGTCTCATCGAATGATCGTTGTAGCAATGGACAGCCAAGGCAACGGAGTACTGTGAGCGCTTCGAGAACCCTCGTAAGGCTGAAGATGTACAGAAGAACTTGGAAGCCGTTCAGACAGCCCTTCGCGAGCGTGAGAAGAAGTGAGTTGGCTCCGCTCACTACTTAGTCTACATTGCAAACATGTGTGATGCAGGCACGGCGCTACAGTCGAAGATATGACGATAGAAGTTAACAAGAAGAAGGCCGCGCTGGAGACTGCCAAGAAGGACTTGAGGAACATGGTATCTTTGAATAGGGTATCGTGTTACCAGTGGCGTTGCAGTCGACCTCTGACTCTTGTGTTTTAAGGCTCTTCGTAGATCTGTCCAAGTCCGTATTGATAAGTGGCAGGAGTTCCGCCGTCATATCGCCCTCCGTTGCAAAGTGTATTTCTCGTACCATCTCTCGAACCGTGGCTACTACGGCAAAATTCTGTTTGACCACGTCAAAGGCTATCTAGAGCTCAAGGTAGACGTCGAGTTCTATTTCGATAGTTATTGACTAATCACGTTTTGTCTACAGGTGCAAACGGACGATCAGACATCCACGCAAGATTCGAGGGAGAAGGATCCGCTCTCACTCTCTGGTGGAGAGAAGTCGTTTTCCACTATTTGTCTCCTGCTGTCACTCTGGGAGTCCATCGGTTGTCCTATTCGGTGCCTTGGTAAGTGTCCCATCGTAATCCAGACAGTATGACCTCCTAATGGCTAACCGCAGATGAATTTGACGTGTTCATGGATGCTGTGAATCGCCGTATCAGTATAAGGATGATGGTAGGTCATCAGGTCCGTTTTCTGTGGTGCAACTACTGAGTTGTCGTGGCCAGATCGACACTGCCAACTCCTCCAACAACAGGCAGTACATCCTGATTACCCCGCAAGATGTAACCAACATCCACGCCTCGCCCTCCGTGCATGTACACCGCATGACCGACCCCGAGCGCGGTCAGGGTGTGCTGGCGTTCCAGTGAACGCAGTCGTCAATCAATTTACTGAAGAGATATAATGATACCTTAGTTGGTGTTCAATGCCCTTTTTGCATACTCTACTTCTCGTTATTTCTTGCAGTATCTTAGAAGCTGGTGTAGTACAATAGGATTAAGAATATTTTGAAGCCGGCCACCAGATCCATGTCGTGCGGCCGTGATTGCCGCTGCTTCCCAAACTACCGTCTCGCATAAAATACGCGACAGACGCCCACCCGTAAAACATAAATACCAGGTAGTCTCGTGACCAGACGTTCACGTGCGACTTACCGAAAACGGACAGAAAGAGAGGGTCGCACAGCAGTGAAAGTCGTATAGAGCGGGGGGGGTATGTAACGCCCTCCTGGCTGTAGCTCCCGCGCAGCGCGTGTCACGCTGGTCATCCCGCGTGTACCTGCACATCTCCTGCCTCCTGCTGATAAATATTGTTCATGTATGCAACCATATATGCACCCCGAACCCTATTCTAGCCATCAATGGCCCGTGAATGTATTGTGAGGTTGATCACTACTACTCACTCGGCTGTTAGGCCATGGGTCACAAGCGCATGAGGGGCTCATGCGGTTGGGGCCATATATTTATACTACACAGTAATTCTAGGAGATTCCAGTATGTTCTCCGACATACCTATGTGCTGACTAATATATGTTTCCTGATTGGGAAACCACCAGCCCTAACAGAATGTGCCGCGTTCGAGTTCGCATGTCTCGAGTTTTGGCTGAGGTCACGCCCGTGTGACATACCCCCCCCCTTCTATACGAAAGTCACCAGACGTTATGACGACCCTCCACACAGATCCTAAAAAGGGTCGAATCTCAGAACGGCTGGTTACGAGACTAAATACCAGGACTCCACCAGCCAACAGTTCAAGGGAAACCCTAATGTCGGCCCCAAAACTACTCTACTGGCTCCCGTCGTTCAACCTGACCACAAAACCACCCCGAAATTTCCCATCCGACATAACGCCCCTAGGGGAAATACGGCCAAATATCATAACATACACGTCTGAACGCCCCCTCATCGAATTCTTCGCCGACACCCTCACCCTCTGGATTGACCGACCTCACCGAATCCCCACACCCAGGCAGCCATGGAGGGTAGTCTTCCCTGCATATCGCCCCGTTGCGATTGGCTCCCATATTAAGATCCACCCCTTAGGGAAAGGAATTGTCACGGAGTCTACGTGGGAACCCATAACATTACCTTCAAAATCCTCGAAATCACTCGTTCGGAGACAATCTATATCTCTATCAAACGCGAATGGACGAAAGTGTTAGATGTTGACATCGCGAACTTCAGAAAAAGCAGTCTACAAAAGAGCTGAATTAGTGGTCCGCGCAACTTCGGATAAACGCGTACGCCCGCTCCCATAGACACAACCTGCCCCGACTAACCTCTGCAAACAGAACACTATCTTGCTAGAATCTGTACTGACAAGTATACCACAATCAATACTTTTGACACACAGACCCTCTAACATCAAGAAACTCGCTCGCGTATGGTGTGTCTGGCGCCACTCCCTCACACGAGTCGCAAATTTCTCTTCGCTTTCTCTCTTACTACGACAGGACGAAGGCTGCGAGGCTTATCCCGTACGGACGTCCCTGCACGTCCACACTCGTGAGCGGGCCAAGGTCTGAGCATCAGTCTCCCTCGATCGACTCTAGCTGGGTCCGGTTCTCAGCACTGCGTGACGCACCAGCAACACAGCTTGCGCCCTCCGCCGATTCGAGATGGCTGTCTATAAGTTCCTCATTGGCGCCGTCACCGGATGGTCCTGATGACTCCTCAGCGGATTGCCGCAGCGGACGAAGGAGAGGATCTGCGTCGCTTGCGCAGCGCCTTGGGACACGTCACGGAGACGGGGCGGGCAATCCACCAGCTGCGGTCGTCTACTGGAGCTCGCCTCTCGGTGCCCCTTACTGGGGTGCGCGAAACCACGCATGCCTTGCGAGTGGCTTTCCACAAAGCATTGGTGTGTCAACGTACAAAAGGCCTGCCAGCCGGTGCTTAGCGCGATTGAGAGCGGGTCAGCGTCTGCGGGTCTGGTTTCCGAGACGGGCGATGAGCGTACGGGGGCCCGTCCTTCAGCGCACTTCGCGGCTCACGATTTTGGTTTTCGGGACCCCATGAAACTCGATTCAGACTATTCTCGTTCTGTCGTGCTGGACCAATTTTTGGATGCTTCTATTCTTAGGGAACATGCTCTTTCCATTGGGGCACTAGCTATGTCTAGGTGCGTTCTCGTTTCCGCGGGGATGAGTTGACTCGCTCATCTATTAACTGCAGCTACGATTTAGATCGTCTACCAACAAGCGAGCAATATCCGGTAGAGGTAAACCCTTCGTTTCGTCGATTTCTACTTCTTGCTCCACGCGATATCGCGTGTCATTTTTGGTCGCTCGATGTTATACTTATTTGCTGTTTGTCTGACGCAAAACAATACTCCTGCGAAATTACTGCTCCACAGTAACTGCAGCTCGTTATGGTAATGCACCTTCCGGAAGCAGTAAGTGTGAACTTGAAGGTTATCACTCACTCCACAAAATGATCAGCAAATTTCAGACCTCGCGGTAGTTGATGTCATCTAGACAACACCCGTTCCTTCCCTGAGGAAAACACTGCCAAGCCCAGAGATGATGGCGCGGCGTTGGAACTCGTTGCGGGAGTCTAATCTGAAACATCATCCGCATCTCAAGTTGTGATTTGAAGTTGGATCATCATCATCAGGCGTTCTGCACCAAACTTCCACAGCATATGTCTGTTCCCTATGGAGGGCTTCTACGTACTGTACAGCGACGAGCATCTGCCTGGTCGCCCTCTGGCCACGTCAGCTGTCGGATCGAGAGAAGGAGTCAGCTACGGCACTGATACGTAGCTCGCTTCCTGCTCGCCGACTCGCGTGCACCGGCGATGGACTTGGCCCATGACAACCACGGTTGAAACAAGCCATCGCCAAACAACACGTATATAAACCGACCACCATCTCCTACTAGCCATACACCCCATCGGTTTCCACCCGTATACCCACCGCTCCCCGACACTCCTTATTCGCTCGCGCACCCCATAAAAAGCTATGCTCTTCACGTCCGTGCTCACCGCTATGTTTGCGACGCTCGCCGCGTCCACCCTTGCGACGCCCATCAGCCGCGCCGAGGACGACATCGTCAGCCCGCAGATCACGTACCCGACCACGGGCGCGGTGTGGATTCCGTTCACCAACCAGACCGTCACCTGGGACACGTCGAACATCGCCCCCGCGGACGCGAACAACACCGGTCTGCTCCTCCTGGGCTACAACGAGGCCAGCAGCGAGCACTTGGACATCCGTGCGTGGTACACTTCGTGCTGCCTGTTGTTGTTTCTTACAGCCGAGTGGATTTGTTCGTAACAGAGTACCCCCTCGCGACCCAGTTCCCCATCGGCGCAGGCTCGGCGGACATCGTCGTGCCCAATGTCACCTTACGCACAGACTACATCGTCGTCCGTGCGTATTCTCGTGCTTGCAGCCCTATGGGTCCGTACTCATCCGCCCTACGCAGTGTTTGGCGACTCGGGCAATGCCTCGCCCGAGTTCACGATCTTGTGATAGGCCCCGCACGCCCGCATACCCTGTCACAGACCTTTGGTGGTCCACGGGCTACACACTCCCATTGCGACGCACATCATCTGCTACGTACGCGCACCTGCAAACGCCCCACGTCGTTTGCGCCGCTCTCGTTTTTTACTACCTCACAGACTCGGACTGTGATCACGGACTATCTACGTTGCATTTACTCGCTACATAATACTATCCCATGATGTTGAAACACCCAGTGCGTCTTTGGACTCGGCGTCACGCGTCCGCACCGTCACTGGCGAGTCAGTTCAGTCGTGTTTACGCTGTATGGACATGAGGTGGTGAGTTCTACGCCAGTGCATCATCCCCGCTGGACACTGAATTTGTACACCTCATGCGATAGCTTCCATCTATGTACACTGTCCTCACGCGCGTGCATTCCAGCGTGACGAGGGAGAATTGGGGCGATACTCGGTCGAAGAACGTGGAGCACGCGTACGAACTGTGGTGGAGCACTGGAGAAGCACCAGTCATCGGACAAAGAATTAGGCTTGGCGAAGCGGAGAAACGGTATGAACGTTGCTTCCTCAAGCCGTCCGTTCCAGGTTAGACCAGAACGCGCGTTACTGCCACCGGCGATACGATGCCCGTGCATTTTCCTCACTTCCTCTCTCGGAACGTTGCACATCCACATCGTTAGCATTGTCTTCAGTTCCTCCCCTAGAACGTGCATTATCAACGATGCATTTTCTTCCGTCGTGTCCATGTCCGCCAAAACGCGTACGCTGGATCTACTACAGTACAATAGGGGAATAAAATCCTCGAGAATGCTCGGGACGCGGTCGGAGAGCGGGGATGATGAGCTTAGCAGCACATCTCGCACGGGCAGCCTGGGAGGGGCGAGAGTGAGTATACTGCGGACACGAGGCAGGGCTGAGGGACGAGAACGTACAGATGATATCCGCGAAGCATTCGCAGCAGTCCTGTGGGACGAGACATGAGTGGGACACGCGAATGGAGAACGTGCACTCCTGAACCGACCTTGCAGCACTCTGTGAGATGGTGAAAATCGCGTTAGTAAAGACAACATGCTCCACTGGAACGACCGGACGTACCAAAGCACAGGAAAGCCTCAATCATGCCCATGAAGCAGTCCTACAGTGAACGGGAAGATGAGCGAACGCGCAACGACGACGAAGGCACCACTCACCCTGCCAGCACCACCGCCTCTGATACGCGAAGCCTTGTGTTGGCACTCCGTCTGCTCAGCACGGGCGGGGGGGTTGGACATGTCTAGAACGACGTCGCGGATTTTCAGCAACACGCACGACGACGGCGAAAAAAAATCGAGCGCGGCGTGTACTCACTCATCTGGAGAGCCTGGGGCTGGGTGGAGGTGGTCATGGCGGGCTTGGGTGCTTCCATTGTAATGTAGGTTTGAGAGGTAGGCTTGGGAGGTATCGAGGAAGTGGGAGAAAGCTAAGTTGGGAGATGTGTTGTGCCCCTGTTTATAGGGGAGCCTGGGGCTCTGCTGGGGGCATCATGCATCATTGGTGCGCATTATTTTTAGCGCCGCGTTGCGGGGGAACGTGTTAGCGCATTTTCTTGTTCGAACAACCTCCTTCCGGATGTCATTTGTCTCACGCAGCTCTGTGAGAGGAGTCTGCGTGCCCGAGGCTGGGTAGACGAGCTCAGGCAAGAGACGATTGCTCAAAGTTCTTGGGACGGTGGATACGACTGCCCGAAATGGCACGCAGCTCGATCAGTTTCCGACCTTTCGGCCCCCAGACACGTCATGGTTATTTGAGTCATGTGACCGCTGTCATAAGCCTTGGAGCAGCTCCATTAATGCGTGTGCATCCAGGTGTACGATGAAAAATAAGTATACATGCTCATGTGGGTTTTGGCCGTACGACAGTCATCCCAGTGAGTAGGAAGATCATACGTGAGTGGGATACCGAGGCTGCCGGCTGTGCGAAATGAGACGAAGACAGGATGGCCCGGAGTGAGGAGGCCTATTACTTATGCATGATGACTGGGCAAGGCTGTGGCATGCTATGGGCATGTCGTCGAAGAACTCCTTGCAGCACAGTGACGGCGATCATGGGCTTCCCGTGGCTCCGGTGACGAAAATGAGGTTAATTTGCGGGAAATATTTGAATATATTGATCACCGTAAGTGCGTTGCACGGTTGGCGAAACTTTTTGAGGCATGGGACGGTCGTGCAAGACCAGTAAATGCTATTCTCCTGCCGTGGGCACTAGAACACGTTCTGGAGGCTAGCTATATTGCAAGACACAGTTAGATGCTCCTTTTGACATTAGAGTGACAGCCATGCTGCGCAGGGCTATGTAGAACCCTTGCTGTACCGACAGATGGATTTGGAAAACCGCAGTTCGCATGAAGACAGTTAGAACTCACAAATGTTGTCTAGTCACTTACTGTACTTAGCACCCGGCAGAGAGACTGCGGTGGCATCAAGCCAATTGTAGTCCGTGACAAAATCCTGGGGACCTAGTTCGAAAGGGGGGGTGTAATTCGAAGGACTTGATCAAGGATTCGGAGTGTCAAGCATGCGTTCATCCTCGATTCAAGCTCCCATCGGAAATTAGAGTCACATCACGAAGACGGTGGATATCTACACTGGCAGTTTCTAAGGAAACATGGTCTTCCGTTGAGGTTACAGCCGCTTTGTACGAGAGAGCCATCACTGCTCAACAAGCAGCGTGGTTCGATTTATCTGTCATAACATTGAGCATCATGTCGGCAGCGAGAGGATCATCGCGGTAGGACGAGCGGCGTTGTCCGAGTGTCTCACTGCCAGGGCGTCAGTTGATCACGTGCCTGCCGCGGTACGCGTGTCGCAATTCCGATCGCGACTTTGCTACCTCCTCTCTTCCCCCACTCTGCGATTGCACAAACCTCTATTGTTGGCCTGGCCGCTTGACACAGTTTGCTACAAATCCTCGGAGTCATTGCAGTTTAGGGTAGCTCAGCCCTCGACGGGCATCAAAATCGCCTTTTCGGTCGCGACGCCTTCTCCTGCCGATTCTGACAGAGCATTTCTTACTTTGGCACCGAAGCAGGCGCAAGCACGACTGTGTTTCCCACCTGTCTCGCATTGTATACCAGCCCATGGGCGTAGATGGCCTCCAGTCTTACCAGGATGAGCAGCTACTTGGCAGAAGACACGGAGGATCCGGGCGACGTGGAGGGGCTGGCGTATGCCGGCGCGGGAGACGACTATTCTGACGGCCGCACACCGTTGGATAAGACTATAGATCGAATTGGAATGGGTGCGTGTCTCCGTCATTCTTGTCCTTGCTGCGTGTATCGATGCAGCGCGAACGTAGGGTCGTACCAGTGGACGCTCCTGTCATTGTGCGGGTTCGGTGAGTGCTCTCGTGACCGCGCGCAGCATAATTGCCAAACATCAGCGGTTGGGCGCAGGTTGGCTGGCGGATAATGTACGTACGTTTGTGCTTATGGTATATTTGGGGTTGACGAACATACCAGATGTGGATACAAGCGATGGCGATCGTGCTGCCCCGCGTTCAACAGCATTTCTCAGGTGCGCACAGTCCAATTTAAGGACCATTAGAAGAATCTGCAGCAGATAAGTTGGATACCTGAAGAGCTATCCTGAACGTGTAGGAACGTAGTCGGATTAGATGCTCCGTCGAGACCGGCTGCTAAACTATATTTACTCCATTTCTTTGTCCAAAATTAACCCGTTGAACGCCCATCGCTGACGTCTTAACCCAGTCCGTGACAATTACATCGGCACTCTTTCATCTTCTATGTTTGCTGGGATGATGTTCGGCGCTATTGGTTGGGGGACATGTAAGCGACCTTCATGTGTCATACTATGCAATCACTCAGCTCCCATCCGCTACGTAGGTTCGGACCTTATGGGCCGCACAACGGCGTTCAATGCGACGTTATTTCTCACCTCTGTATTTGGCGTGTTCGCGTCCTTCGCGAATTCGTTCGTCTGGTTGTGCATAGCACTGTTCTTCCTTGGCAGTGCTGTTGGGGTGAGTTATTGTTTCGTTCAAGTCTCGTGAATGGGATCGTGATTGTGGTGCCTGCAGGGTTCAATGCCCACAGATGGCACGCTTCTGCTGGAGCATATGCCGAATGGCAAACAGTACCTCGTCACCGCCCTCTCCGTCTTTTTCTCCTTCGGTGCGGTTCTCGCGGCCGTTGTAGGCCTGCTGGTCATTCCGAGCCACTCTTGCCCACCAGCGCCGGCGCCCTGCGACGTCGCAACACAAAATATGGGGTGGAAATACCTCTTAATCGCTCTTGGTATCATTGTGAGCAGACCCGCCTGAGCTTCTAAAACCTCGCTTCTGACGAACTCTATCCGTCGTGCTCATGAACATTTCAGACGCTTTCGATGTTCTTTGCGCGCATCGTGTTCTTCCGGCTGCATGAGTCGCCCCGCTTTCTGGTGCACGCGGGTCGTCCGCAGGAAGCGATAGAATCCCTGCAGCTCATCTCGAGATTCAATGGCTCAGAGCTGTCTCTGGGCCTCGATGATGTGCGGGACCACCACCATGCACCTGTCCTGGGCGATGATATCCCAGCCGCCTCTGACGTCCGCCCTAACCGCGAGCGAGACGAGACGGGGCTGACAGAAGAGTCTGCTCCACTTATATTCGGTGCCGACGCCGGCGGAGCGATAGACGGACCACACGATGATGCGAATATCACGCGCCCATCATTGTCCTCGGTGCGCAGCCATGACGTCCTGCGTGAATCTCCCGAATCCGAGTCGAAAAATTACTGCTCCACCGGGGAGTCCAGCACCACACTGGACGCGCACGCAGGTGCGCGGCATCATCGCCCGGTGTCGTTCTACTCTATCGCCGACCACTCTGACGAGTTTAATCACAACCCAAAAGACGTCTCCGAACCACTTGCTTCTCAACCCACGGATACTCTGCCTGCGCCGGTTTCGCGCCCACGATCTCGTGCCCGTGCAAGCAGTGCCCAGCGGCGGTCGACTGCGTCGTCCTTATACGAGGTCAAATCTAAGGTGTACTGGAAGCTTCCCCGTTTCATCCGCAAGCCGCTCTTTGCGTGGTTCGACCGCGTCGCGATGGTGCTCTCGCCCGAGTGGCTTCGGACGACGCTGCTGGTATGGGTGGCGTGGTGGGCGATGTCATTAGGTGAGCACCGCCTTTCTTCACGTTTTGCCCCCCCCCTCCCCCGGATGTCTTTCGGCACAGCTGCAGATCCATGGCGATGAAGGTTCCCCGTAGTTCCTAGCTATCGTCCTGATGTTTATCTCCCTGCAGCGTACACGATGTTCAACGTGTTCTTGCCGAAACTTCTGGAGGGGCGGTCACGATCCGGGCTCCCGGGCTCCGCGCCGAGGAGCCTGGAGGATAGCCTCTGGGACGTGGTGATCTACGCGCTTGGTGGTTGCCCCGGTGCGATTGTACGTTATCCTTCTCACCGTTCACATGATATCGGTGGTGGCTCACTTCACTGCTCTTCCTCGTACCTGCTTCGGATTGCTAGCTCGGCGCTTATCTCATCGAGTCGCCGCTCGGCCGGCGGTGGTCCCTCGCAGGCAGCACGTTTGTGACCGCGTTTTTCTGCTGGGTCTTCGTGCTCGTCGAGCAGTCGTGGGCCGTGCGCGCCAGCACTGTGGGGATCAGCCTAAGCGCGACGGTACGGGCTTCCCTATTTTTTTCTACTAGGACCGTTTGCTTATGACTCCGCTGTACGTCAGGCGATGTGGGCGGTATTGTACGGGTAAGTCCTATGATGTTCTTCGCGTACGGGCGCGTGTTGCTAACCGTGCCGCGAAATAGATGGACGCCCGAAATCTTTGGGACCAAAGGTGCGTTGCGCGGCGTATCGCTCGGGCGGGTTGGTAACTCACATGTGTCGGTGATAACAGTACGAGGCACCGCATGCGGGATTGCGTCCGCACTGTCGCGCATGTACGTCCACTTACGTCTCTCGCTGGTTCTATCTATGCACACTAAATGGTCGTCGTTTCGTTTTGCGCAGAGGCGGGATGATCGCTCCGATAGTGGGCGGTACGCTGTTGACGGTCAACGTGTCGTTTCCCGTGTATGTCAGCATCGTGATCTTCCTGCTCGCCGGGGTGTGTGTACTCCTTTTGCGAGAGGAAGAATGCGAGCGGGGCAGGGAACGAGTTTTCGTGCATTAGATTGCTTTCTGAGACCTGGCCCTTTGATGCAGCATAGACCACGCAGGGTGCGTGTATAGATGCTTGTGTATGTATTGGAAGTGCGTAGTACTTGTAGCTATTAGTATGGTGGTACGCTGCGCTGAACCGTACTGGTTTGCTTAGCGCTTAGCGTTATGTCTCGGCATATTGCTCTGCAGTTGTTGCAGTCCGATGTTACCACAGAGCATTCTGCAGACGATCTCTTGCAGTGCGCCATCAGTGTGCGTCGGGGACGGCCCCTCAGCGTTCAGTGGCCAGCAGGATTCATGCGGAGGGCTAGAATATGATACCCCCGCGCGAGGACAGACAATCACGACCTTATGCTGTTAAACGGCAGGCTTGACAATTCCCGGACTGAGTTTGTAGTATACGACAGAAGAGTCTTGCGCATTGATCCCCAGATAAATCTCGGATGGCTGTCCGAGCTCTTCAAACGCACTTTGCAGCCTATAATCACGGTCAGCAACAGATAGAACCACAAGTTAGTGTTCTTACCATGATATTGACAGGGACTCTGAGAGCAAACAGGGAACGACACATAGCAGTGGGTCCTGGATGGGAGATATACATTGACGGTTACGGTGTTATCCCAACGCTATGACTTGTAGCTCACCGCCCTGGGTCTGCGTCCTCGCAGAGCGCCTCGAGAACATGTCTTCAACTCAAGCACTTCGAGATCGGTCCATTGCTGGGCTGAATTTTTGCGACGCACGTTCAGCGACCGCGCTAATGATGGTCGTAGTGCGTACTTGCCGTATAGAAGGTCGTTATAGGTCTGAAATAACGCGCCAGCAGCTCTAGGATATTTGTCGAGCAGGGAGGACAGGGCTTGGTACTGCCAGTGGACATTTAGCTTCATATCAAGCAGAGCAGACGGGGAATACGTACGGAAGGATGGCTCTTCGTGGATGTGCTCTGTTCAGACATCAAAACTCTCCCCGATATGTTGCTTATGATGTATTTTTCTGAGGAGAAGTTGACTGTTTTCGTGACGGTATTAATAAGTATAGGACCACGTGGTTGGGACTGCGTTTCTGCGAACGCGTCGCGTTGCCGCCACCACTGTGACAAGGGTCGCAAGACCGCGCCACACCTCATAACGGCTGGTCAAAAATCGCATCACTGCAGTGCAGAATTGCGGCACGAATTGTGTTTACTTTATCTTGTAGTTATCAGGTGCGAATAAATTCACGAATTTTGAGCCGCGGACCTGATCCATCCGTCATCCAATCACAGGCAAACCTCGGGCTGTTCCTATCGTTCTGATTCTCCTGGACTCTCGAAATTATCATGCCATGGCGCTCTCCTTTGATAACTTCAGAAATCCTGAACAAGATATGCACGGAACTATTGTACGACAAGGACACTCTCCAAAGCCCCGCACTGCTATCGGTCGCGAGAACCTGCTCGCTCTTTTACGATTACGCCATGGAGCTGCTATGGAGTGTTCTTCCCCACCTCGGCCCTTAATATACACGATGCCGCGCGATTTGTGGATGGTGGAGGTAATCTCTGAAGCCGCCTACTCCTGGAGACCGACCCGCATCATCGTATGGTCTGGCTATTTCTGGTCACAACTAACATGTTGATTATATTCCTCAGTCCTTTCTCAGGCCCCTACTGCCAAGTGACTTTGCGCGATTTATCACGTACGATTCCCGAGTCAAGCAGTTGGGTGGCGAATCCAGCTTGATTCTATGGACGTCCTTGCGTAGATGGGATGTCTCTTTAGAGGTCATGCGAGCGTTCAGCAAGTTTCGACCACTGCCCTCTCTTCTTCCGTATTTGGAGCATCTGGACTGGATAAGTTCAATGTTTTAGGACCCGGACGTTCTTCCTTGGATTCAAATTCTACTTGGATGGAAACTCAGGAGTCTTCAACTTGCGGCGAACAGTAAAAGCGAGGAAGAGACAGTTGCCTCATTAAACGGCCTGCAGAAGAAATGTCCTGAGACCCGGAGGCTGATTATCGACCAGGCGCGCTCTCCTGTTACACATGCTGCGTTGACAGAGACCCTCTGCAGCTTTCGACTCCTCACGAGCCTCTACTGTCCATTCTTACATCTGGCTGTCGGCGCTATAGATCTGTTACATCTCGCGTCCCTTCCCACCCTTCAGATTTTGACTGCAAATTTTTATATGCTTCCTGACGCGGACGAGCTCTCATCTCTGTATCACCGTCCGGACCCTCCCTATCCTCATGCTCATAATTGGCGCCATCCGTTCCTCCAGGCTGGCCAGCCTAGAAGCGAGAGTCGAACCAGCCTTCAATGACTGACCGCAACGAATTGAGAATCTTTTCACTACTCTCGCGCAGCACAAGTCGCGCGGCATGCAAGAAAGGCTGATGTTCAATTTCGACGTGGCTACGCAGGCGGACGCGTCCAAGCATGTCTTGGGGAACCGTGTTTTTGAACCACTCTTCCGAGTCAGGAACTTCGACGTGTCCATAAATTGCATTCTGGATTTTGACGACGATTTTTTGGGTGCTATGTCGCGCGCATGGCCGGCCCTCGGGACATTCGAATGTAACATCTACCGTCGCTGGGGGCCTGGTAAGCCGCGCGCAACGGTGGCAGGACTCATCCCGCTCGCCCAGAATTGCCCCGACCTATTCTCTCTTGAGCTGGCGCTCGGCATAGGCCTGAAGAGAAAGGAGATTGATCTCGAGAAGCTCCCCGGGGGTGGGATGCACCACTCTCCCTTAGAGAATATGCAAGTGGGCTTTTCCGTTGTCAGCGATACTGAGGCTCTCGCTGCATTCCTGTCTGGCCTGTTCCCCCAGCTATGGTTGATTGGCACCGGTTGGCCCGTCGAGGAAGACGAAGACGCAGAATATCCTGAAGAGGAGTGGGAGAAGGGGAGGGTGTAAGCACGTCCAAGACCTGTTAAATGAGTTCACCAAGATCCGTAAGCAGGAGCATAACTGGATGGAGTCACAGAGATCCTCGCCGTCCCCTACACCTCCCCCTCAATCTCCGGATGATGAGGCACTTTGAATGCGTTATCGAGCCAGTCTTATTTGCGTTTGTCCAGGTGAGTAATGTCTCAGATTCAATGATCCAGGGCAGATTTTTGTACTTACTAGTGAAACCACCCCTCGCGCCTTCCTCTTTCAAACGGTAGCATTCATCTTCCGGTGGTGACCTTGATTCGAAAATTGCATTGACGGATTCTTGGTTGTGCAAAGTGATATGTTTGCTATTCACTTACTGATATTTCCTTGGCCGTGCAGGTAGAGGACCACTCGGTACTAGCCAGTGGTTCTACAGTCGTCACTCAGGGCAGTGAGTGCTCTCACACGCTAGCGCTGGTCTTCCTGGCGGCCCGGTGTGACACCGCGCTCTAGACTGGATCCTGAACATTGAAGAACTCTACGCACATTTTCCTCACTACAGTGCGGAACTGCGACATGTCCTGTCATAGTCCTGGGCTTGATTGGTACCGCTTCTAGTGATAAGCTGCACAGAGATCTAGTCTCGTCAATTCGCAGCAAAGCCCATCGGACAATAGCACAGTAATTTCGGTTTCATCATCCATTCATAGGTAGAAACTGATAATACTTCAGCGATTTAGATAATCCTGATATCCCAGAGCAATCGTCATGCCATGGCGTTCTCCTTCGATCACTTCCACTATCCTAAGGAAGATATGCGCCGAATTGCTGTATGATGTCGAAGGTCGTTCCGCACTGCTATCACTCGCTAGAGCATCCACTCTCTTTTACGAGTATGCAATGGAGGTATTGTGGAATATGCTTCCCCACCTCGGACCGTTAATCTACACAATGCCTTCTGATTTATGGAAAGTGGACCTAAAACCTAGAGATGTTTTCTCCTCAAGCCTGACTCATATCATTGTATGATCTATTCCTTCTTGCCATCATTGCCATTTCAGTATTGACATTCCTTAGTCCTTTGTTAGGCCACTAGTTGCAAGCGACTTTGCACGGTTTGTCACGTATGCTCCCCGGATCAGGCAACTGGGAGGGCTCTTCATGATCTCGTATGGGTGTTTGAGGAAATGCGGTGTATCTTCTGATGTCCTTCGAGTGCTGAATGAATTTCGACCACTGTCCTCTCTCCTTCCCAATCTAGAGCATCTCGAATGGACAACTGTAGTGTTTGGGGGTCGGGACATCCTTCCTTGGGTTCAAATGCTGTATGGGCCTAAGCTGAGGTATTTCCTACTCACAACGTATGATCAAGGCAGTGAGGAAGCATGGATCACAACAATGAAAAGTCTGCGCAAGAAATGCCCCGGGATCCAGCAGCTGGGTATTGATATGCTACCCTCTCCTGGTATTCACACTGTGTTGGCAGAAACAGTTTGCAGTTTTCGACATCTTATCAGCTTTGACTGCTTCATCTTATATCTGCATGTCGACTCTCTGCTCCATCCCGCCCACCCTTCAGGTTCTGAGTGTGAACTTCTATATGCTCCCTGATGCCAATGAACTCTCCTCGATCTTAGACGAGAAGCCTACACGGAAGTTCATCAATTCGTGATTTCTCGAAATGAGTATTCAGAGCTTTCCCATCCCCATACTCGTAATCAATGCCATCCATTCCTCCAGACTGGCAGAACTGCACGTGACAGTTGAGCGAGCCTCCGATGATGCACCAGATCAGGCCAGGAAGTTTTTTGCAGCTCTTGCAGAGCACCGGTCTCGCCGCATGCTGCAGATACTGGAATTCAATTTCAACGTGGGAGTGCAGGTGGACGGGACCAAGCACGTTCTAGGAAACAATATTTTCAAACCACTTCTTACCCTCCCGAGAGTCGATAAGCTGGAGATGTCCATGAACTGCGTAATGGACTTCGACGACAATTTTATAGCAGCCATGTCACGCGCGTGGCCAGCCCTCCGCAAATTCGAATCCAATGTCGACCATCGCTGGGGAGAAGGGAAGCCTCGAATGACGCTGGCAGGACTCGTCCCGCTCTCGCAGAATTGCCCCGACTTATTTTCAATCGGGTTGACGCTCGACGCGAACCTGACGGGAAAGGATATTGATTTAGAGAAGGTCCCCAAGTGCGGGGAACACCAGTCTTTCCTAGAAGAGATGCATGTGGGCTATTCCATCGTCAACGACCCCGAGCTCCTCATTCGGTTCCTATCTGGCCTGTTCCCCCACTTGCGGTTCATAAGCACTGCTTGGCCAAACGCACACGAGGACGAGGAGGCAGAACACCCTGACGAGGAATGGGAGGAAGGGAGGAAGTGGGCGCAGGTGAAAGTATATTTCCCGCATGACGATGAGGACCTTTAAACGCTATATCACGCCAGGTTCGTTCCGCTGTTATCCTCGTGAGCTTCCTCCCAGATTCGATGACCCAGCTGTCTTCCACTATTTACTGAATTCGCCTGTGTATCTCTGTTCCACGACAGTGTTCATGTCCCAGTGGTGACCTCGATTTGAAAATGCTCCGACGTGTCCCGTGGCTATCATGCTGTACGGTCTATTGAACCAATAGCGCATTCTTCGCCAATAAATATTATGACGTCCACCATTAATGTTCAGGATCCTGGTTCACATGCAGATTTGTGCTCAAGCTAAGCCCGTACTTCAACATCATTTGGTGATTGAGAAACACACGAACATGGAGATATTTTCAATCCAACAGACCAGCTGTCCTGATGCCTTTTCTCCATTAGATATTCATAGTCTGTAAACGTCAATAAAATCCTCGTAGAAGGAAGCAACTTTGTTGGTGATTTACAAATCAATATCGGAGCGAGTAGGCTAGCCCTTAGTCACGGTAGTACTCGACTGCCAGCGGGACGGTCCGTGCACGGCACTGTCACTATGCCACATACGCGTGACGCGACGCGTCAACGTTTCTTTGGTACCTTGCTTCACCAATCCGCGTCGTTCAGGGTCAGTGAGCGATGCTATCGTATCTGAACAGCTTATTCACAAGTGTGAACTGACTGCTATTCGATTATTCATAATCTAGGACGCGCAGGTGTGTTTGGAAAACCATTTAGCGCCAACAGGATTGCCGCGTAGTACGGCTCTGAACCGGCAAGCACTATGCCATGGCGGCTGCGATCTCTGACATCACAGACGTTGAGTAATATATGCGCAGAATTACACTATGATGAAGACACAGATGCTCGGAATGCGCTCCTCTCGCTCGCCAGAACCTGCACCCTCTTTTATGACCATGCTATGGCTCTGCTATGGCAGTCACTTCCACACATAGGGCCATTAATTTTCACCATGCCCGCTGACTTGTGGAAAGTTATTATCATCCTTGGTGACAATAAGGGAAGTTTACCCAACGGTCACTACATCGTACGATGGATTTTGTTCCTACGATTATTCCCACATATCTAAAGTTCCCTCAGTCCTTCGTTAGGCCATTATTACCCAGCGATTTCTCTCGCTTTGTTCTGTACGCCTCCCGGATCAGGCGACTTGGTGGTGACCGGTGGGAGCCTTCTCTGCGTCCCTTACGACCTTATCGTGTCTCCGCGGGTGTCTACTATGCCTTGAAGGATTATCGGCCATCATCTCCACTTATCCCTAACCTTGAATATCTCGGTTGGTCGGGCATGCAGTCTAGGGACCCTGAGGTTTTCCGTTGTCTTCACATGTTCTATGGGTCCAAGCTCAGGACGGTCAAACTCAAGGGTCCGGTCGTACAGGCCGAAGAACAAGCACATGCTGCTCTCCGAGGCCTAGCCAGAATTTGCCCCCAGATCGAGGAACTTCAAGTGAATATAGGGCTATACGCTCGATTTGCGCTCGCCGATGTCATTTGCGGCCTTCACAATCTCACCCGACTCTGCTGCGAGGATACAGCCATATCTCTGCAACCGATGATGCACCTTGCCGCCCTTCCTGCCCTCCAAATATTATCCATCAATGTTTCTGCAATCTCGGATCCAATTCAATTATCTTCCACTCTGGACGATGGCCCGCAAGGAAAATTTGTTGCTCTGCGGCGCCTGTATATCTCCGCGTGGAGCGTACCTATTCTCACCGCCTTCTTGAATTCCATTCGGTCCTCGAAGATGATCGAATTGACCACGGTGGCACAGGAAGCCACCTCGCCCGAAGTCGCGGAGGAGTTTTTCACGGCCCTCTCCCTCCACTGCTCATCCAAACAAATTCGGCTGCTCTCCTTCACCTTCAACGTGAAGCAGGCGGACCAGGCGGACCAGGCGGACCAGCCGGAATGTGCGCTCACAAACCGGACCTTCCTTCCCCTTCTTGCGCTCCCACGGGTAAGGAAGCTCGTCATCGACGTCAATTGCTCCCTGCATCTCGACAACGACTTCCTCGCCTCCATGTCGCACGCATGGCCCTTTCTATGGAAATTTGAGTTTGGCCTTGTTCGTCCCTGGGTGCAGAGGTCCCCGCAAGCAACGCTTGCCGGACTCGTCCCGTTGGCACAGAACTGCAAACATCTCTTGTCCATCGGGATGGCGCTTGACACACGCCTCAGAAGGAGGGGTTTCGACCTCGAGAGGCGCCCTGGACTCGGGGTGTGCAGTGCGTCACTGCAGGATATACATGTGGGCGGCTCCATGGTCGAGGACCCCGCAGCTCTCGCTGCATACCTGTCCGACCTGTTCCCTAAGCTGTGGTGGATCGGTCATTCGTGGCCCTCCGAGGAAGATGAGGGGGAACACATCCAAGAGGAGTGGGAGATGGCCGAACGATGGAGGGAAGTCGGACGCCTCGTGAAGGCATTCGTGGACATCCGCCAGCAGGAGCGGAAGTGGGCCGCCAGTGCAGACGCTCAGATGGCGACATCCAGTCCGTCTCCGGGGCACTCCCCCATGGAAGAGTAGAGCTGAAGATTGTGGTCTGCGCGCCTTGATATGGTGCCGTCGACCGGGCTGGTGAGTTCGATTCAAAGCATCTGCTGTTGTGACAGTGAGCACAACTTGCTAACTTGCTGCGTGTCCAGGTCTGGGAACAATCTCCATGCATTTGATTTCTGTTACCAGAATTATTCACTCTGCGGCCTGATTTATTCTGTACGTATTGCTTGCTTGGCTGTTATCATACTACCTCCGAAGTATGCAAGTCATCTCTTGAATGGGGTACCTCCGTATGTAGGCGTTGCCTGTTCCCACCAACAGTATCCGATATCCATCCGGGTCATCGTCAATCGTCGTCCAACTGAGGTATAATGCTGTAAGGCAGCTGATCACCTCTCCGTGCCATGTCCTAGCTAGATCCCGGAGCCCGGTTCCATCGTGAGGGTTCTCTGCTGCATATTCTATTTGGGCCAGTAACGAGAAGCGTTGGATATACAACGTTAACGTACGCAAAGCCGTGTTGTTCCGAAGCCGACCAGAGACGCTCCGTGAAGCCGCAAGATCCGCAAATCATAACCGCCGAGCTGTCATATTACAGCATGGATTGCGAATGCTTTATTGGAACGGAGAAAACAGGCGCGATTCTTATCGACTGATCAACGCGCTGGACGTTGGAAGTACGAGAAAACGCAAACCCTGACAGTACTAGTGAACAACGCCGAAGAGGTGTCACCCGGGGAGGATGGATGGCGCACATTCGAGATAGAAGGTCGCGACAGATATCGGCCATCGATAGAACAAGCGTCTTTATGCACACGGGAAGCTAAATAGGTGTCAATACCCGTGAAATATCCGTGAAGCCTATTTTCCAATCATATGCGTGTCCCTTCTCAACGACAGAATTTGACTGCGGAAGGCCCAGTACGGAGCGAAAATCTGGAGGTGCCGTCTCGCGTGCTTCGAAGAATCCGACAGTGCCGGTCAAGCGTGATGTGAAAGATTCAGCATGGGGTGAGGGAAGGAGAATAATTATGCCAACAAATACGCCACCACCAATAAGGGGCTAATACTGCACAAGTTGTATGTCGGAAGCCATAATTGATACCGGATGGTCAGCAGAGTGTATCATCTCGCATAATCACTTGTGGTCTGTGGGGGTATAAATCGGGCCAATGATCAGGGATACCTAAGGAAGCCTATCAAGATCAATCAGTACTGTATGCGAACAGTGTGCGTTACGTACAACAACGGGTGTCCGACGAACGAGTGTGACTTATCTGCATCCATCGACCGTGAATTTCGCTGTGATTGTCTTGTACGCACCCCAGATCGACCATGGCTAGAACAGGTCTACCATAACGTACTTCTGAGATTCAATAGGTGCTCTCCGATGGAGAGTCTGGAAGCTGCGAGCAGCACCTTGAGTTCATGCCGTTGCAGGGTGATCTGGATGTTCCGACGACTCGTTCAACTTGTGACCTGCGGAAATATAGACCAGTATCGTGATCAAGATCCTATTGTGTTGACAAGGGAAAAGGGGACGATAAAGGCGGTGCGTGTTTGGTGATGGTATATCGCTGCGACAAGTGAGGCGACAACACGCCTTTCGCACATCAGAACGTCATTCAGAAAATCACAATAACACACAAGGTGGAAATTGCGCTCACAAACAGCGAAAAATGATCTCTACATGAGCATAGGGTGTGCGTCGATCTCTGAAACAGGTCCCTGGGCTTTCAAAGGAGGCACTTGAGTGAGTAGATGAGACATCGCCACCGGCGTGGCTGCCAATTCACTTGACTTACCAAAAATAGGCTAGTCGCTCATTATCTAAGCCACACGCCCTTGCCTGCCACACCCTCTTGATGAAGTCTCTCCCACCTTCCAAGTACTCCGTCTCGTTCAGCACATCGTTCAGCACGCATGTTTGTTCCATACTCCCGAGAAGCTATTCCCTTACACAGAGAACGCTCTATTAACAAATCTTATCGTTGCCTCCGAGAGTGCTGCTGGCCAGTATTCAGTCTCGCTTCTAGCTTTTGGATTGCCTGAATCTTCTTGAGCTCTGCTTCGCCATTTCCCTTTGCTTCCTCAAATGATCGCTCTGCCCTTGTCATCCTACCCTCCTTGCGGTCCCTCGATCTGATACTATGTGTCGAGCCGTACAACGGTCGGTCATCTGCGTGCAAGAAGACGGATCAAAGCTATACGGTCTATTAGCCTTTGACATCCCCTTTTTGTTGGATGCAATCTCAATGAGATAATGATCGGTGATTGCAGTTCAAACGTTGTCGCTTCTAACTCTTTGAACTCACTGCCCGCACCGTCGGCCCAATTTTACCTTGTAAGGTCGTATCCGTTGTCTTCACCCTTCTCCTTTTACAGCAGAACCTTGCTCGAGGGCGTGGATTAACATATCCGGCTTGGTTTTGAGAACCAGGGCATATGAACTTCGCCGACGAACTCTGTCTCATACTTCACTCTATGCCAGTGGATCCTCTTTTTGTTTCGACTAGCGCCTGTAAAATGGACGCTCCGTGCAGTTCTGGATGGCCGCTGACACGTTTCATCTGTGTCCTGTTTGAGGTAATTGTTAACCTGGCCGTTCCTCTGCTTGAGTTGATCCTGCAGGGCATTTTCAGCGTAGGCGCGAGGTTCCGCCACGAAGCCAGCGTCAGGGGTAGCGTGTAGGTGAGCAAGACTTAATTCCGACATCTGGTTTAATTTCCCCAAGGTCCGGGACGCTTTGTTCTGATGCACATCGGTCATCTGAATCGATGGGGCAACTCCGCGATAAATCTGGAGAGACAAGACGCTGCCCCTCCTTTTCCTCGGACGGGGTTTCGGTACGGTGTGCTTGGCGCTGTCCCTGTTATCATCGGCAGTACGCGAATAGATCAACTTTGGCTTGTACTTAGCGCGTCGATGGGGGTGAATTTGTCGCTCTTGAATCGCGTGAGAAAGAACGTGTCGGATATGAAGGGGCTTGTGTCCGATGCAGTGAGTTTGTCTTTTGCCATGTTTTTGGAAGAAAGTGGGAGAGGATTGGGGCGAATAGGCGGCCATCGATTGGGCGCAAAGCCGCAAAGGGATGTGGAGAGGGAGATATGCCGCGGGCGATTTGCAGCTCGTCTACTAATCACTTCATCGACATCGATAACACAGTCTAGAATCCGCTTCTAACACCTTGAATTCTGTCGAATTTGGGAAGAAACACTTCAACGACCAGATGACGCCAGATCGGATCAAGATCCGTACTCCGCCTCCGTACTAGTATAAGTGACTAGCCACAAGGCCGAATGGCGTCCCTATACCTCCTCGACCACATCACTGTTATCGCACTGGAATATGGTGAGTTCTATACCACATGCTCACGTCTCATTTCACGACCGTTTTTATCCAGGGTGTCACAGTAGACGTTCTTCAGCCCGGCGATGGTGTCACCTTTCCCCGCAAGGGCGGTATGTGCGGTCATTTCGCTCTAACGCAGCGCTCACTTTCGCGCAGATATTGTCACAATGCATTATGTTGGGACCTTGTTGGACGGCCGGAAGTTTGACTCCAGCAGAGATCGGTCCGTCATTGTCCATCCTGAACCGACACATTCGCTCACGCGCTCCGTGTAGGGGTCAGCCATTCGAGACAGAGATCGGCGTCGGCAAGGTCATCAAAGGGTGGGACGAAGGTACGAGTCGTACACTTCACCCTCGTAATGGCTGAGGATCAGTTAATCGCTCTGTTATCGACACCATCAGGCGTACCACAACTATCGTTGGGCGAAAAAGCGATCCTCACCGCGACACCCGATTATGTGAGTTCCCCTTGTCGTGTCTTCTGATCCACGGTTGATTGATGCATCCCGTAGGCATATGGCGCGCGGGGTTTCCCACCTGTCATTCCCCCGAATTCGACACTGAAGTTCGAGGTCGAGTTACTCAAAATCAATTGATTTCTGAGTGCTTCTTCGGGTTTGGACTTGTAGTCTGTACATATGTTGTTGGGCCGGGCGATATTGTTGTGACAGTACCATTGTTTCATATTACGCGCATTGTTCTGTATGCCCACCGTTTACGTCCTCGTCCAGTCAGATATTGTAGCAGTGTGGCTTGGTGGGGGCCCCGCCAGCCGGTCGCATTTCGTAATCGATGGATAGGGAGCACCATCGATGGACGAGTGTGATCAATCTGTGTATCTCTATGTGCGGTTGGGTCGGTGGACACTGCACGGTGCACTAGTACTCTCACTACAGATCACAGAATGTCTACATGGATGATCACGTGCTGCGCGTAAGGGTCGCTGAAGTTTCTCCGTTCCGCTCTAAGTACTGCAGACCAACGAGCAAGTCCGCCTCTCATACACGTATCTCTCCGAGGTCTGCAGGTATCCGATTGTATCTTCGCCCAAAATGTCCTTATCCAAAACATTATGCCGGGCCACTCTACATGATCGGGAAGTACAGCCTCCGAGTCTACGCAGGCGTACACACGGGCAGCTCTCACTGGCAGACCTTGTGAGCAGTCTCGTGGGGGAGCCCTCGAGCTATCTTCATTGTCTATCGCGAATCGCTGCTAGCAATTCAATGTGATGTCGTTCTTTGGTCTGTCGGAATTCTGGGCACACTGGCTCCTCAGCTTCACAATTTATTTCGCCCCGCTGTGAGGACTCCGGCGGGCGTACCTTGTGTCGCAGACGTGAGCTCATCCTTCCAGCTTCGATGGACGCGCTCCAGCTCCTGCAGTATTGTCTCTACTGAATAACCTACGTCACCAGCGGGTCAACACAACGTCCCCGTGTTCTCATGTCACGTACTACAATCTCTACCTGGCAGCTGCGGAGGTGCGTCACTTGCTGCATTCTGACGATCTGCGACGATTGAAGAGAACTTTGTGTGCATGGTCTGGCATTGACGGTCTGCCTCGGCCCTCGTAATGGCTTCTATCTCCCGCCTGCGTTCCATCTCTTCGCTGCATTCTGCGACCTGCCGCTGCGTTTGAAGCAGCAGGTCCGTGAGCTCGGACAGTTGCACTTGCAGGGACAGATCCAGGTGATATGGGCTGTCATGGGGCTCAGCCATTTTCTCTGCAGATGATGGCCTGCAGCTGGATAGTGGAAACGATACACCATCTCAGCGCAACTTCGCGTGTCGAGGTGTGGGCACGTGTTTGGACACGCATCACGTGATGAAGACGCGTCGCGTCTGTTTGATGCGACGCCACCGACGCGTCAGGAATAGCCTCCTTTCCACCATGAAGGTAAAAAAAGAATCCTCATTGTGTTTGCGACTGGTTGCAACAGTGATTAATTTTGGATCACTTGGCGGAAGCGAGTGTGATCGCAGCCAGTCCCAGCTACAATGCGCAGGCGGAAGAAAAGTTTTCTCACTATCGCGACCGGTCAAAATACCAATCCGCAGGTCATAAAGCACATTTATCCTCCGTCGCTACAACATTTTGCCAACCATGCTATTCCTTCCTTTCACTCTCAGTTGGCTGGCCCTGCTTTACTTCAACGCAGCTGACGCGTACGCAGTCTACACACCAGTGCACGGAAAGAACAGGACGATAGACGGAAGGGAAGTGTACAACCCGCCGATTATGCGTCCGGACGCGTCTACCACATGGACCGCTGGTTATACGGCCGAAGTCACTTGGTGTGTGCATGTAGGATGGTGTTCCTGTGAACGCAGGCTGAACGGCTACACGATTAGGGATACGACGAACATGCTCAGCGGATCTGCGAGCTCTACTGGGACGATTTTCCTTGGGCACCTCAATGATGGCTCGGACAACGAGCACCTCGACCTTGGTACGTGCGTGTTTGGAGAACGTCACGGGCAAAGTTGAGATGATCACATTGCGCGACAGACAATCCTCTTGCTGATGGATTCAAAATGACCATGGGGCAAATTGAGATTGAAGTGCCTAGGGTTTCCCCCGGTAACAACTACATCGTCGTCTGTGAGCCGTTTCCATCTCCCAGTTTCTTTACCTGCGCTGAATATTGGTTAAAAGTGATGGGAGATTCAGGAAACAGAAGTCCAACGTTTACGATACAATAGGTGTAGTATGCAGATATTCATATTCATGTCACGTTGGAATCTCTGCGCTGCCTGGATTCTCGTTGTCGCCATTCGTGTCACCTCTCAAATATATGAATTTTGATGCGCCGCGCGACAATTCCAGAGACCTCCTGACGTTACAAAGCGATGTTGCATACAAACTACTGTACAAGCATGGTATAGGTACATTACTTAGATCCATAAGTTTCAGTTGCAAGACATATCTATCAAACATACGCGAAAACGAAGAATTTTATGCTAGCTATGCATCATACCCAGGTAAAGACGAACCGCTGGTAGCGCTCGACAGACCGCCCATAGGCGTCAACTTCACGCTAGATCTCTCGGGAAGGCGAGCAATCCGACGAGCAACGCGGTCGCGGGAAGGGCTTGCTGGCATGACCGAATCGTCGCTTGAGAGGTCGAACTCGTCCCCTCGGACGCGCCGGATGGCGGGAGATACCAGGCCAAGTGGGGTAACTTGACCCACATGGGGGTCATCGTCGGAGGATAGATCATTAGGCTTTGTAGGTGATGCAAGCATGATGGAGTCGTCTGCGAATTTACCGTAACAGTCAGAAAATCGTCCGATTGATATCGAGTCAAACTACTCACCACTTCCAACAATTGGTCCATCCAGCACGACCTGCACGAGAGGCGATAATCTTGATGTACTGGGGATGGGCTCGATTCTCAGAGTAGAGCTTTTGCGCTTTTTGCAAGGAGTGCAGTCGAGCGTAAGGAACGTAGTCTCATCTCCCAGCAGTTTGGTAGCAGAGCGAGTTCGCCGAAGGAGTCCTCGAGACTCGTTGGCTAGGGCAGCGGTCCTAGACAACTGAGAGCAAGAGCGGGGTTCCCGGCAAGGTCGTTGACGCTCGAGCCTGAGGACTTCACTGAAGGTAGGAACTTCCACGGCATCGAGGAAGACGCCTTTCCGCTTCTTGCTCGGTTTTGAATATGAAGATGGGATGGCCGTGATGCCCAGCTCAGAAGCCTTCGTCGCCAAGCCCGAGGGAGCTCCCGAGAGCTTGTAAAGAGGCTGGTCTAGACAACCTGCGTTTTGTACCTGGGAAGTTTCGAAGAGTGTGTTTGGTCGCACAGAACTGTCCTGTGGAATATCGCTATCCTCGGTTACCGAGTTGACGGTAATTTCTCCAAGGATAGGTCCGACAGAAGCCACCTCCAGTTTCCTTCTCTTCGGCGCCTTCTCTTCCTGTACTTCGTCTGTCAAGTGTCGCTTGCCCAGCGTGGACGAATCACATGGTGACACCATCGCAATACGTTCTGCGACAGAGGGAACAGCGCGCAGGGGTGTGGCGTTTTCCTTGTCATGGAGGCCGTGCCGCCTAACAGAGGACGACACGTGTCTGGAACCGGAATGAGGAGATCGTCTTGGGGTAAGTAGTGACCGAGTGGGAGATGGGAGGACTGGCGATGAGGACTTGAAGCAGATGGAGACCAGATCCTTCTGCCCTGAAGGCTTCTGCGGCCGTGTCGGTATGGTCAAGGGTAGCGGTCTCTGCGATGACTTCGGAGTTGAGGGTGGACTGACGGCATCCGAACGTCCAGCCACGGCTGGAATCAGCGATCCACAGAAAGCAGGAAGCAATGCGGATAGTGGTTCGACAATCACATCCTCAAGCGGAGAGAGATACTTCTCCGTATCATCCACCTCTTCTATATTGTGTCCTGGCGCCGCATCCGTCAGGAGGAAGCTGCTAGGAGGGATACATTCCAGGCTCGCGTCCATGATAGATAGATCGGCATCCCCGGAAATTACTGCAAGACAATTCTCTATTTTTTCTGGCCAGCCCTGACGAGGTCGTGGCAACTGAGCGTAACTCGCCTGCCAGAACTCATCAAACGTCTGTGACACAGAGCTCAGGTTGTCCTCTCGTACGCTGAATGCAGACTCCAGTAGCGGACCAATGGACTCGAGCGTTGATAGCGAAGATGGCAACGACTGCATCCCGAGCAAAAGTGTCTGATACATCGGGAGGATCTGCAAGCGGTTCATCAGCGGTGCTGGAGGACGCAATGGAGTTCATGCACGTACGTCCATCGAATATTCGTCGGGTGTGAACACCTCGTAGTCATCGGCAATCCAAATGACCAAGCCTTCCTGCAACGTCTCCAACAAATTCAGGGAGAGCTCGACTGGGCAGGCGTCGATAACGCGGGTAAGCGACCTCAGCAGCCACATACAAAAGACTTTGTTCCTAGGCTCGGGTGGATATGTCGAGATCAACGTATCGTTGATGAACTCCATCATGTCAAAGGGTATCTGACGTGCTTCGCCAATCTCCAGATGAGAGAGTAACAGGTCGGCCACACGCGTGGAAGACGCCAATGTTGGTGCATGGTTGGAGGAGATCAGCGAGGACACCAGATCCACGACGGAGACGGAATCGACTCCATAGTCTAGTGCGTTGTCCATCGTGGTGCGAAGCAGGGTATTCCAAGTCTCGAGGTCCTCTGTAGACATCTCCCATGAGTTGGCTTCTCTGCGAGGTATCGTTGAGTACACCCTGTGCCTGAACGAAGTAATGACTTACACGAACGGCACGCCGAGGAGGACGACAGCGGCCTCCCAGGTGCCCGAACATTCCGACAGCTTGTTAACGAACTTCCGCCACACAAGGCATCGCACGTCGTCGGACCAGTTCCTCTCCTGTTTTCTCGTTCCGTAACTGCGGCGGCCCCAGAACTGCTTCAGCTCATAGACGTCGCACACAAATGCGACCTCGGCACACAGGTACGCCCACTGCTTTCTGATGTCGTCCGGGAGGTCCATGTCGTCCACGAGATCAGACTCATGACGGTCGAGGTACATGAGCAGCTTCTCGGCGGGGCCGCTTAGTGCAGACCTGGGGAATATCGTCCGCGCGATGGTCCAGAGCTCACGGATAACGACCAGCTTGAGCACCAGGTTCCAGCGTGATCGGGTAAGGAGTGAGACCCGGCGCTGCACCGGCCGCGAGTCGCTTGTGGGAATGAGCTCAGTGAGCCCGTCGTCCGAGTCGGCGCTGATGTCTAGTGTGCGATCTCGGAGAATGTCGACGAGAACATTAACGATGCATCCTGCGAACCCGGCAGTCGCTTCCTCGTCCCCTGCATCTGCCGGGACGTCAGCCCGCATAATCTGTGGACAAACGTCACAACTAACCCTGCAGAGCAGCGACGTTCGCGCTGAGCAGTCCGGTCCAGATCTCTCCGATCTCAGCCTAAGTGATCGTTAGTAAATAAATGAGCGGGTGCGCAAGTTCAGTTGCAAACGCACGGGTATCTCGCACGGCCAGTATAGCCGTAAGGCACTGAGTCCGGCTCTCCACACTTGCAACAAACCATTGAAGACCCACTCGATCGTTAGCTCGTCCCTCGTCAGCGAACGGACGTCGGCCGGCTGCGGGCAGTCCTCGAGCAGTGGACGTACCACCTGCGGCAGGCTGTTCCACTGGGCAGTGAGCAGCCCGGGATTCGCGGAGAAGAGCCCTGGCGCAAGCAGCTTACGCATGTCCCACTCCTTCTGAGGCTCCTGGTCCACGAGCTGCAGTGTGATTTCGAGCGCATCCTCGAACGTACGCCCGCCCTTCTTCATCATCGAGCGGAGCACCGAGATCGTGCGCTTCAGCGATAGCTCGTCGGTCGTCACCCCCGGCTCGCGCCCAAGCAACGCCCCAATTATCGCGATGCCCGTGCCCAGCTCTACCTTGTCCTGCACGATCTTCCACCCGCTATCCAGTCGCTTGTAATACTGCTTGCGCCCCACCACCTTCTCTGTCCCCGTCTCCTCCAACTCCTCCATCTCGGACTCCTCTATCTCGAACGCCTCCATCTCACTGTCCTCTTCGGACTCGGGTGCATCCTCCTCATCCTCCTCTGTCTGCCCCTCGAGCTCTGCGAGTGGCCTGAAATATGCCCACGTCATGCCGTGCCACGCCATGCACCCGACCGCGCGCACCGTGCTTTTCGGGTGGCGCATCCCGAGCGACAGCAATGCTGTCATCGTCGTCGTCAGCTTCTCGCGGACGAACAGCGTGGGGCCGAGAAGGACAATGAACGCCGCGAGCACGCACCATGCCCACACGGGGCCCTGCGCGGCGTGCGCTGCCTCGGGGGCGTTTAGCGTCGTTCGCAGCGTGCGGATGATGGGCAGGTCCTGCGTCGGACTATGCAGCTTGTCGGACGTCGTCGTGGGGCGTGTGAGATACGCCGCGACCAGTTCAGAGATGCGGGTATGTACGGGACTCGGCGGAAGCGATGCCATGGCATACGCGAACCCGCCGAGTGCATGACAGGCTTGTATCCGCAACGCCAAGGTGGGTGCCAGTAGGTTTGCCAGGACGGAGGGAAGGAGCTCGGTGAATGCTGGGACAAACAGCGCTGGATACGTCGTCGACAAGTCATGAATTGCCTGCGCCGACGTCAGTTTCGCGTGCAAGAGGGTATATGCAGGTACTCACCCTCAGACCGTCACTTGCTGAACCCTTTTTTCCCTCCTTCCCGAGCTCGCCTTCGATCCCGCGCCGTAACGCGTAAGCAATCCGGTCCTTTGCAGGGGCAAGGATTTCCGGGGGCAGTCGCTGTGTGAGGAGCAGCCAGATCGCCAACGCGTTCGTTTTACGCGCGTTTTGCGTCGGCAGCTCGTTCGCCAATGGGATGGCAAGCACTTGCGTCAGAACGAAACCGAGCTGCGCGTCTGTACGAACATAAACGCGTGTTGTCAAGCGAGGACATACTTACGTACCAGTGAAAATCTGGTACACCGCTGGCAGGGTGAACACAACTGCTAGCAGTTTCATGACCGCCTGGCACGTCATGCAGAGATCGCGCGCGTCCTTGGCCTCCTCCCCAGACATGCTCCGCTTCTTCTTCGGCGACTGCTTCGGAGATGGTAGAGAGAAGACCGGCTCGTCCTTTGGTTGAACAGAGGGTGCGGTGGGGTCTACCAACGCTCGCTCGAGATCCCTGACGAGGGCATCCACGAACGCCTCTCGATGATATCTGAGAGGCTGGAAGAGTGGCCACGACGCGTCGGCATCGGTGTTCCCTGGGACGCACGTACGCAAACGTGCGGTGAGAACTGTATATGCCTTGATGAGGTCGGTCATGGACGCGTCTGCAGCGAGGATGCGTGACACAGGACCATCCAAGTAGTGCAAATTGACGAGAGGATCTGAGGGCTCCGGAGTAGCCTCCTTCTGGAACTCCTCCTGAATGGGTGGAAGGACGTGTACCGTCTTCTTAAGAATCGATCTCCTCGGCAGAAGTCTGGATGCGCTAGATTCGAAGAGGGTGCTGGAGCGAGAGGAGACTGAGATAGTGTGATATTGGATAGAGTCTGACCACACTACGCGTGAGGCGGTTGGGAAGAGCGCCCACCGATTTTCCTTCTCCTCGCGGTGGGCAGTATTAGGTGGTGTCGGCAGGCCCATATGGGCAGCCATTGACGAGGAAGATGCCTCTTCTCTCGCATCTGACGCGTTCTGAGTACCGATGGTAAGTCATACATGGCACGCCTGTTCAGTTGTCAAACTGCTTACCGTCACCGTGCTCTCCACAAGAATACGTGCGTCTCTACCCATGATTGTAACTATTTTTTTGCGTCACGCGGAAACCGGAGCGGGCGGACAGGACGGTGGAGGGGAGTAGGAGGGGAGAGGATGAGAGCGGGGTTCCTGCGGCCACGGCCGAATTAACAATGTTGTTTGCACCAGTTGACGCGAACCAACGCGTCGCGCGGAGTTCACGTGAGCGTTTCGCGACTCAAGAACTTAGAAAATCTGGAACATAGCGCCTACTCGCGGTGCAAAAATGTTTATGAATTGGAGCCACCGTTCATGAAAAATCGTGTAAGGAACTCATTCCCAGATGCATTTTCGGAGAGGGAACTAACGGGAATCCGACGGGTGTCGTCGTAGACTATTTATCATAACCATTTCACTATCACCGCTACTAGTAGCCAAGACCCTTTTCTTGGAACCCCTTTCTAACCGTTCTTCAGTGCACTGACTTCCGGTGCATTTCACACTCTAACCAGCAGCCGGCGCCCTTCCCTATCCACAACGTACACACGTGGCGAGTTCTTGTGGTGCACGCGTACGATTACCCCGGCCAGGTTGTACTTGCATGAAGAACACCTCTCCTTTCCGGAGTCGAGGATTGAGGTGGAAGGACGGCATTGATGCTCGCCATCGACAGCTCCAGCAGTGTTTTTCCGGTACAACATAAATCACGTTCGTGACGTCCGAGTCTGAGTTCATGCATGAGCGTCAAGGGATCCTAGCTTGTTGGACATTGGCAACTGCTCTCCCATAACGAGAAGTGATCTTGACACTTGACAGCGCGGACACGCGAACACACTCCTCATAAATTCAGCTATCGGAGAAGATGTGTTGCTTATCTTCTACTTACCTTCATCTCTCCGCCGCCGTCCCTGTTCCTCCATGAAGGTCGCGGTCGTGGGTTCAGGCGTCTCTGGCCTTGCGGCGACTTGGGCAAGCACTCGCCCATACTATGCCTCGTGTTGCATCGCACTGAATTCCATTAACGCAGCTGTTGAACGAATACACCGACCATGAAGTTCATCTCTACGAGGCTGACTCACGGCCAGGAGGGCATGCCAACACGGTTTCCTTCACCATACCAGGGAAAGAACCTGTCGATGTCGATACGTGCGTGTCATACATGGTCTTCTCAACCAACCCAGGATTAACATCTATTACCCCAGAGGATTTGTACTCTTTCATTGTTTCACAGACGCCAGGACGAAAATCTAATCCCGCCCCTGCTGCAGATTGTCTTCAACCCAAACACATACCCTAACTTCCTCCGGTTCCTCCGCCAGTACCCGCCGCTGCGCGAGCGCATCCGGGAAACCTGCATGACCTTCTCCGTGTCGCGCGACGCGGGCGCGTTCGAGTGGGCAGGTACGAGCCTCCGCGCTATATTTTGTCAGCGGTCTCGCCTGCTGGACCCCCGGGTGTGGCGCCTGCTGTACGACGTCGTGCGCTTCAATGCGTGCGCACCAAGGCTGCTCGTAGAGCGCAACCGCAGACGTGGAGACTCTTACACGGAAGAGCTCTCCATAGGTGAGTACCTGAGAAAGGAGGGCTATTCAAACTCTTTCAGGGATAACTATCTTATCGTCAGTCTTTCTCCTGCGTCTCTTCGTGATTGTGACTGACGAGTTCGCAGCCAATGACCGCCGCCATATGGAGCACGCCTCCGGATAAGTGTGCACTCGATTTTCCTGCGCGTACTCTCGTAAGCTGCGGTCCTTCCGCTTCATGGATCCCGCTCAAAAATTCCCTATTTGCCTACACGGAATTGATTTAACTGGTAAAATCTCCGATCATAGATTCAGTTCATGCACAATCATCACCTCCTCCAAATCATCGGCAAGCCGGCATGGTTGACGCTTGAGGGAGGAAGGTGTGTCTTCTACCCCCTACATCACACTACAGGCTGGCAAGCCCTGACACGATCTCCGACAAAATTCCACAGCCAAACCTACGTCAAGCAGATACTCGCTTCGCTCCCCGCATCACAGCTCCATCTCTCCACGCCCGTAGCCTCCGTCGCTTCCAAGCCCACACATGCCAACAGCAGTGACGACGTGGGTCCACTTTACAGCGTAGAGATCACAACTAGCTCGGAAGAGCGTAAAACATACGATCATGTTATACTCGCTTGTCATGCTGATACCAGTCTTGCGATCCTACGCGCGGGTGGCGGGCTGACACCCGACGAGGAACGGACCCTGGGCGCGTTTGGGTGGAGCAAAAATGAGGCGGTCTTACATTGTGATGAACGGGTGCGCATCTTGATCCTCTTCAGCTCTCCCTCCTTCCATACTCTTCACTTCATGATGACTGGCAAGATTGTTACTGACGTCATCTGCTCTATAGTTGATGCCGGTCCGCCGCATCGCGTGGTCCTGCTGGAACTACCTTACCAAGTCAGAGCAGGACAGTGCTGGCAGGACGAAGGCAAACATCGACGACGTCTCTCTGTGAGTTATCCACTGTAACGCAAGAGGACACGAGCTCATCACGCGATTTTCAAAAACAGAACATGTGCGTAGCTGTTACTATTTATATCATACCTGCATGCCTATGCGACAGACCATGCACAGACTGGATGAACGACCTACAGCACATCTCCATGGAGCGTCACGGCCCTGTCTTCGTGACGCTCAACCCGCCGTTTGAACCGCACCCCAAGCAGGTGGTAGGATGGTACCAGTATGATCATCCGATACTGGGCACCGAGGTTTGTCATTACCGACAGATCACCGTGGATGGTCGTATTTAAGCACCTATAGGCCGTCCGCGCTCAGGAGGAGATGGCCCTTATCCAGCACACACGCGGGATCTCATACGCAGGCGCGTGGCTGAAGTACGGCTTCCACGAGGATGGCTTCACGTCCGGGCTGCGCGCTGCTGCTGCGCTACGCAAGACAACTGGGGACGCGACGGGAGACGGTGCACCCTTTAAAATCTACGATGCCGACCGCTCACCTGGCAGAAGTGCGGTGTTACTTGCTGGCTTGTTTGACGCGTTCGAGGCGTCGGGGCTCAGGGCTGTTCTTGGTATCTTCTTGTCTTGGTGCTCGACCTTATTGAGGACAATCTTCAGTTTGGCCGGTTTCAGGTTGTCCTCGCTGAACGCCGAGCTGTGTGAAGAACGAAGGAAGGTTCAGTGATCTTCCAAAAGTTGTCCGGAGTGAAATCTGTTACTAGATGTACGGGTACGGGCTACAATGCAAACGATGCGACAACGAGCAGGGCCGAGCGAGTGCATAGGATACAAGTCTCACTACTCCAACATAATCGATTATAAGTTATGCTATAGTCCGAGCTGGGAATCAATCGCCCGCTCTCGATTTTGTCTAGTCAATCTGGCAAGCGCGATCACGACGCCTCACCAGCGGTTGGTAAGTTGAACCGGACCTGGGCGCGAGGTGAGTCGACTACCTCACGCTCATCTTCGGACGGTGCCTCGCTGCCAGGCAGAGGCGTTACAGGGGACGATGGCGACGTTATCCGGGGTGAATTGTACCCACTCGGGGTAGGGGATATGGCAAAGCGAACGGAACGTGTTGGAGAGTGTTCGCGGGAGCGAGGCGACTCGGACGAACGCAGAGAGTCGACGCGTGCATGCCGCAAGCTCGACGGCCGCGACGCGCTGCCGGGGCGCACCTCAGGCCTGCTGTGGTGCTCCCCCGCCGTCTCAGGGCTCGGTTCACCGTCCGAATCTTCGGGTGGCCGAGATGCTGCGTCGGATCCGCTAAGTCGTCTTGACGTACGGATGGCGAGCACGCCCCGACGGATCGACGACCTCCTGCGCGTCGTGGTTAATGTCGGCCTAAGAGATGGCAGTTTGCCTGGCTTCTTCGGTGACCTCGAACGACTCTTTTCCTTGCCCTCGGTTGACGTCGAAACTTCCGGTCGCCTGTCACTCGTGTCGGACATCCACCCCTCGTCTTCCTCCTCGTGGGCGCCTTCCATACCGAGGCGGTTTTCTGCTGTGGCCACTGTCCGTTCCATCTCGTGTGTCTCCTCCTGCAGCCCCTCCTCCGCTCTCTCGAACAAATGCTCGAGGTCATTGGGTACGCGCCTAATCCGTTGTCTGGCGTTCTGGATAGTAGACTGCGCCGCATCTCCCGCATCGCGGAGCGTATCAGACGCAGATTCACGTGGACCGAAGGCATCTCTCTGCACCTCCACTTCCACCTGGATACCGAGATCATGTCAGTGCCATGTCATATTGTCCCACACAACTGTGGAGACAAACCTCCGAGCCAGGACCAGTGCGCCTTTCTACAATGTTATGCGGCCCCTCCTTCCACTCTGCAACAGTCTCCGTGCCATCTGGCGGGTACTCCCGGGTTCCCGACTCTTGCTTCTTCTCCATGTGGACGTGTTTCTCCCCCTGGGGCGGGCGGCTCCCTTCGCCCTCCTGGTTCACAGAGCTATCAGGCGTGACGTTCTCCTTCTCGGGCGAGCGCAAGATCCCGCGCTCCGTGTCACTGTCGCGGTTGATCACCACATCCTCGCCTGGGACAATCCGCCGCGTCTGTGTCGTCCATTCTGGCAGCAAGGGCCCTGATCGGCTGATGCTGAACGTGCCGAAAGTGTCGTGTCGCGACCACGTGCGCGACACGGAGTGGACGCGTCGCCCAAGAGAGAAGAAGGGAATGGACAGCCCGTGTATCGTAACGGAGCACAACACCATGAATGCGACAATGGGCTGGATTGATGCGGCGAGCAACTGCGCCTGGCCTTCAGGTGGCGATGCAGGCTTTGGCAATTGCTGGGCTGCGAGTGTGGAGATGAAGACGGCACCTAACGAGAAGCACATCAGTAACGAGAGGCAAGTGCCATCGCCAAACATGCGCACCAACACCTATAGGACCGAAATGCCCGCTAAAAACAGCCTCGCGGAACGTCTTCACATCCGGGATCCACCTGTATAAGGCGACCATGATAGGCAGCCTTCGCAGCAGAAGCACCAAGATCGCGATCACGATCAACCGCCACGGTGTGAGCGTGAGCTCAGGGTCCGAGAACTGATGGAAAGGCATCCATGCTCCGACAAACACAAAAGCAGCAATGTTGAAGAGGAGGTCAATGACGGACGAAAAGACAGCCTCCTCCGTCTGTTTGTTGAAGAACCCATCCCATGCGAATGCGGTGCCGCATGAGAAGGCAGCAAGCAAGTCGTCTGATCCAAGCAGTGTACAAACTCCGATAGTGAGTATCGCAAGCGAGACGTACTGCGCAACGTAAGACTGCCTGTCAATAAGGTCCTTGCGTTCGCAAAACTTCATGAGGTGGCGGAAGCCGAACCCAATAAGAGCGCCGAGTACAACACCCAACATGACCTGATCTAAGTTCGAGCACTGCAGTCAATGAACTAGAAGACAAGATAAGATGGGATGAGCGCACATAGCCAGAGAACTAAAAACCAGTCTTCGATGGCCCTACCAGTCGTCGAGTCCAAAGTGAGATAGAGTGCGATGAATAGAAAAGGGAAGGCGGCGCCATCATTGCAACCGCTCTCTGCGGCGAGTAAGTGACGCAGATGAGCAGGGACATGTTTGTCTGCATACTTGCCGCCAATAACCGCAGCCGCAAGGATAGGGTCTGTTGGAGTGAGACATGCCGCAACTGCCAACGACGAAAGAAAGTTGAGTCCAGGAATCAGCGCGTATATCAGCCCCGCTGATACGAACCAGCCCTAGCAGACCGTGATAAAAAAATCCAGCCTTGCAAGTAGGGAACAGAAAAAATACGTACCCACGTCATTACAGGACACAGAAGAAAGAACAAACTCTTCCAGTGCCTCTTCATGTATTGTTTCGGGAGTTCTACTCCTATCGCAAATACTCCGATGGCTAATACCACACGGGTAAATTCAAGAACGATAGTATTGACGGTATCAGGGTTCCCTCCGCCCCAGCCGCGGGGATTGAAGATATTTGCACCATAAGGACCTTACTCATCGAGTCAGAATTGCCAAGAGACAAAAATATATACTCACCAATAATGATGCCGAACAGGAAGGCCAACAACGCTTCGCCCATGTATAGCTGCACTCAAAATGTCACTCTCCAGGCGTATGTACTGGGCGAATATCGAGCTTACCTTTTCACGTATAAAAAGTGACAACATTCCGAACTGAAAGCGTATATTCACAAAGATTTCCACGAGGATATGCTTGAAGCTTACTATGACAACGAAGCCGCCCAACACGGCGTACGCGATGTGGGGCGTAGTGGTTTGAAACTGAGACAATGTCAGCAAGGGGTCGATAGCACGACAGCTAAAGACCTCACGGGATGGAATCTCATGGTGGCTACGGTTCCTCTAGTCAGCCTCCTGAATATAAAGGATATGCGGTGATAGAGGCCAAAGATGACGATTCGTGGTGCAGGCACAAAAACGTGAATGCATGAACGTTAGACGTTATATGTAGTCGTCAGTAGTGCGTGATGACCAGGAGCCTCTCCGGTTGACCGGTTGAGCAATCGCTCGACTGTGGCCTGTGTAGTATGTATTGATCGGAGAAACCTAAAGAAGGTTACCTCCGCCGGTCAGGATACTCTGGTCCTTCAGAGCTGCGTGGAATGACAGATTATATGGCGAGTAGGCTGCTGGGTGCACGTTGCGTGCAGTCGTTGGAATGTCCGTGAGGGAAAGGAACGAGATTGAGCGTTGCCGCCCCTGGAAATGGATAAGTATCTTACTGAGTTGCCGCAATCGGCACGGCACGGTCCAGACATCACGGCATCTCATGTAAGCAGAGAGAGCGCTTATTAGCTATGGCTTTGCTCGAGTCTGCCAGTTGTATACTGTGTCTTTGGCCTTTCGCCCAGCACTGTGTCCTCGCACGGTCGGTCTGTCCAATATTGCTCACACACTGCACCGCCAGAAAATAAACCAATAGACCAACCAAGGGCCGTCGGCGCTCTCCAACTGAAGCCCGACGTCATAAAAGTGGCAGGTGAGCGGAATACGCATGTATGCGAAACTCATGCTGTGTGAATAAGGCAGGCGCGGGCACCCCGTAAATGGAGCGTGGATACACCAGGAAGGAGTCAGAGGACATGTACCGTGAGCATGTTATACGGCGGCATTGCGTGCGATGCACGCACCTACTCGCACTTACTTACTCATGAGTGAGTACGAGCAGGCGTGTTATCTTTTCATCGCGCTTCTGCCCATGGCTTCCCAGCGCGTCCGTCGGAAGGACTTATTGCGAGACAAGTTGGCCCATTGGGTAGCAACATCCACGTTGCGGAGCGAACGTGGTCTATCGTGACCCAGACACGTAGAGAAGTCGTCTAATGGTCTCAAATTTCCATGGAAGCCTACCAACAGTTTATCGTGGATAGTGAAAAGTTCGTAGAGCCTTTGTCACGAGTTCAGTGGGAGGGTCCTCGCTGTCAGACGAAACGACTAGCTGGTGATCCACGCTGCATGCTGTACGGCGTATGCGTGAGGCCTTTTCCCATAGGCCGGCACCCATCGGCGAGAAGAGTGATGGGTAAGTTTTTCAGCATCCTTCAGCACAGTGCACCGTCCTCTCAGAGGCATGCGGCAAGATAACAGCAGAAATGTGACAGTCGCAGAATTGCGACTGCTGTGTCCGCAGAGGATTAACATTCCAACAGATTCTCCGATTGAACCTAAGTCTACTTACGCGGGTCAGTTCTGCATCGGTCAAAACATAATCTCCCCTCCCAAGTGTTTTCCGCACCGCAAGCATGTTTCCTCCTGATCGACACTAGGACACCGATCGACGTGAGCGACTATCCAGCGAGCTACTGACAAGATATAACACTCACAGGAGGCAGAGAAGCCCCAGGGGGAAGCAGAAAATCGAGTTCAAGATGCCAATCAGGCCGTATTTTCTGACTGGGACGTGGTCGCCTCTACGACATCGAGGATCGACTGCGAAAAGTTTCAGTAGGTGAGCATGCAAGCAGCTTGACCAGATCGAAGGAAGGCGCACCTTGGTTCCTATGTTCTTCCCATTGCGAGGGATATCTCGCCTGAATATCACTAGTTTGGATTGCTTGCCCTGGATTCGTGGCTTCTGCCGGTCGTTCTACCTGGTACGCACGGGGGCTGCTCTGGGGATCACGAATACGTGTCTGTGGCAACAAGTGCGCAGTTCCTGGCCGCGCCGGAATAGTCTCAATCTCGAGCGCTGGCGGAGAAGTCGCGCGGGGTGATTGTATCGAGGGTCCTGCGATCAACTCCTGGATCGGGAATTCGGTGTACTCCGGTGGAGGAGTGCTCGGTTCAGGACTGAGGGCGTGGTCCAGGGGGATGGTGACGGTTGGGTTAGGCCGCGATGGAATCTTCGCCATCGAGGGAACAAGGCCGCGTAAAGCGCACGCGGCGTATGAGGCGAGGTTATATATCAAGTTGGGATGAAATTCGAACGTGCGGGTTGACGGCTACTCCGCCTTTCACGCATCTGATTCATCGCCAGTGCAGTCTGGAGACCGTCGCTGCGCCGCCGGCGCGCGACCTTCGTGTCATGGAGCCATTATATATGGCCGCTGACTGTCGGTTTACAGGCTGTCATAAGCGCCTTTTGACACGACCAGAACACCTCACAACGCCACCAGCCCACAGGACGACTTTCCTGCTGACAGGGCTACCGCAGGAGCCCGCATCTGTCAGATAAGTATACTGCGGGACCCCACGATAGACGCGAGAACGCACTGAGTGCAGTGGTCCCGCAATGTTTCCTTCCCCCACCTCAGCACCTCTCGTCGTTCCTTGCGTCGTTGATGCCTAGTAGGCTGAACGTCCGTACCGGGCAACGAAGGCTGCTGCCTCGGCGAATAGAGTGGTGAGCATATTCTAGATACGATGGCGCTTCAAAGCTTTATCATTGTAGATGCACTGACACATTGCGTGGTATGCCAACATTAATGGTGTCCCTGCCTTCCTCATGAGGACGAGCGCCTCTGGGGGGCGTACGTTAGAGCCACGTGCTTTTAGCGCCAGTCGTTAGTTTGTGCCACATTGAGGTGTTACTTTGTCTATTGTTTTTGTTTCGCTACTAGTGGTATATAAGGTGTGGCTACCCTTTCAACATCCCGCATCTCTCACTCATACACTCACAAAAATTTGTCGCAAATGGATCCCTTCGACTCAGAATCTCGGGCTCAGCAGCATAGCAGTACGCGTACATCGCGGAATGGATCATCTACTACTCGTAAGTTCGACTTATTTGGTGGCCTATAAGCATATTGACTCTGTATGATCTCCTGACCAGAGATACCCCAACCTCGCCCAACGGAAGATGGTAACAGAACTAACTGGCAGGTATGCTGCACTATTTTCCAGCCTTTGCGCTGTGCTAAATGTCTGGTCGATACAGAGGATGCAGCAGGAAGGACCAGACAGGCCACAACGCTCTTCCAGCCTACGTAGTCCGTATGAAGGGTCCTCTACACTGTCAACATCTCAGGCACGGCGTGTGGTGCCCCCGAGCCCCCTCTCCAACCTGTGTTGGCCAGACTCAGATCCTAGTGTCCAACCCCCGCCGCAGGCAGCGCCCAATCCTACTGAGTCCGTTGCACAAACGTTTCCTCCTGCTTCCTCGGTTTCCCAGGCTCCCCGACTGGAGGACTCGCCCCTAGTGTGCCCACCCACTCCTCGCCTTGGTCCTCCCACATACCCTGTGCGCTCCTCCACCTCATGGAGTGTAATGTCCGGAGATCACTCTCTAGAGCCCCCTTCTAATCTCCTTCCTCGTTCTACGCCCCGTATGCTCTCCGCGATCTTCCGGAGTCTAACAGAGAGGGATCAATCTGTGGAGCGTCCTTCCACTCCCCGTCCGGGCCTCACGCGCCGTCGGAGCCTTTCACCCCGTCCAAGACTCTCGCCCCCTCCGAGCAGACCAAAGTGGACTTACCCGCCCGGCCACCCCGCGCGTGGATCAGAGCCTCTGGAAGCTCGTTGTTACCCCTCGAGTTCGTTCGGCGATCTCAGCGTGAGCGATAGGGTTGCCCCATATTCGTTTGAATGTGCTGAACCCTGCTGTGAGGGATGTAGTCTCTGCGAGGCTGGCTTACCGCACTTTATGCGGAGAGACCGTGTGAGCCGTTGGCGCCGGTGAGCTGCTCGCCGTCGAAGTGCCGACGCATGGTAGACATGTGTCTACTGCGCTCATGAAATCGAATCTAATGAAAATTATGTTGAATGCGACGTACATACGTAAATGTAGTTCTCTTAAGGTTAAATAATACCCTAGAGTTGAATATTCTCAGTTCGTGGGCGCATAGCCGCATAGAGCTGAGCGCGTCGCGACGCGCCAAGCACGTGCCTCGTCGAGGGTGTGACGTCAGCGGGGTCGTGCGTCATTGAGCTGCTCACATGCTGAAAAGGCGAGGGCGCACTCGCACATTCGTCCGCCATCCCTTTCTCACCAGCACACACACATCATGTCCGCCATCCTCCGTCCACAAGCCGCACGCGCCATCGCCCGCGCTGCCCCGCTCGCTGCGCGCGCAGCCGCCCCGGTGAGTAGCCAGACCGAACCGACGTCGCCCGCGAGCTAACCCCTCTGCCAGCATGCACGCACACTCGCTACCACCCCCGACCCCACGCACCCCACGGATGGCCCCAGGCCGAACAACATACCCACCCCGACCAAGGGTGGCAACGGCATGTACTGGCTAGTGGCCGGTACCGGCGCTGCCGTCGGCGTGTGGTACTACATGAACATGGGGACGCCCGAAGACGTCCACGTGCGACGAAAGGCCGAGGAGCAGGAGGTGCGTGTCAAGACGGGCGAGGCCGTCGATGCAGGGAAGCGCACCGCGAAGGACGCGCTCAAGGAGAGCGAGCAGGAGTATCATAACATCAAGGTGGGTGTCGCATTTCTGGAGAACGACTCGAATGTCCATCTCTGCATCTAGGCATCCGGCCAAGAGAAGCTCGCGCAGGCCCGCTCCCAGGCGAGCTCACTGGCGAGCGAGACGAAGTCCAGCGCGCAGCAGCAGTACGACGCCGCGAAGGCTTCCGCGGCGAGCACTTACGGCGCCGCCGCACACAAGGCGGAAGCTGCGTACGCGGACGCTGCGCACAAGGTTGACGAGACGCGGCAGAGCTGGGGCGCATGGTTTGCCAGCTGGTTCGGCTACGGCAGTAGGAAGGCGGACGAGGCGAAGCGTGAGGCTGCTGCGCAGGTCGCGCAAGGGGCTGCGAAACTCGAGAAAGAGGCTGCGAAAATCGAGAAAGAGGCTGGGAAACGCACATGAGATAATGAGTCACTTTACCGTTGGGCGAAGAAACAAACTGCCGCATCGAAGGACTTGGAGAAGCGTTGCATTAATGACATCGGCGTGTACTCTGTAAAACTATGACTTACTACTGTGTCATATCCCCATGCCTGTAACGCGGTGAGTCTCCGCAGAAGTAGACGAGCCAGGTCCACCTTATCGGCGCTCAGCGCCCGACACTCTCAAATCGGCAAATAATAATATTAGGATCAGTTAACGTCCACCACCAAGACAAAAAACATTTTCCCCTGTAACCTGTAGTCGGACCCATCGTCGTATGTAGGTCCCTTATGGTATGCGAGCTGCCATATTAGGCAGGTAATTCAAGTTCATTCCCAGAGTGCCGTTAAACTGATTAATTTCTCGGACATATGGAGAAAAGTTGGTAGAAAGGAATAGAATGGATCGCATCTTGACAAGCTCGCCGCTGCGTGAGTGCATTTCGGTGGGTGTCATCTGCCGAGTGGTCCTTGGATGCGACTAGCGTACGCGAGGAGCTTGGTGAAGACAAAGCTGCGTATTGCACATAATCCCCAGCCTCATTGAATCTGTATGCAGCGCCAGGATTACGGAGGCCGGGCGAGGATGGCCCACCGTGGACTGTCCGCGGTTTGTTGTGCGTGTGTCAGTCTCTCCTTCGGTGGTCGTGATGGACTATGCATCCAGTGATCCATCTGGTGGGGGTGGCAGTATATTTCCTTGGTTTCCATTGATTACAAGTTGTGCGAGTTCTCCTGATTTTCTCGTTCAAGTTCAATAATGTCCAGTATCCTTGTAGTCTCGTTACATGGTTCTCACCAGTCTGTAATCAACCGGCATGTGCAGAGACGGGCATGGTGCGTGAACGACTGGTGCTCTCCTGACATGAGACACCGAGGATCGACTGGTAATTCATGAGCAATCTCGCGAACACCAGGGACTAGCAGAGCCCGAGGGCGCAGAAAGAATCACTCTGATTTGCAGGGGGGCTCTTCTGGGCCCTAGTATGGGCGGAAGACTGCGCGCTACCCGCACCCGGCGATGGCGAAATGTTCACTGAGAAGTTCGGAGACGCGTCAAGAATTGGACCAGAACCAGTTCATGAAAAACATAGTGAAGGCGCCTACAGACGGACACAGCTCCATCGCGAATTTATGCGTAGCACCGCCACGCCTTCATATATGGGGAGATCTTCTGACAGTAGCTGACCCATGATACATGACCTTTGCGAGCGCCATCCAACAGTGGAGAAAGTAGTGAGAACTCCAAAGGCCAGTACCTATTACAAGCCATCTCAGGTCCGAGTGTAGGCGCCGTATAGTGCCTGTGGTGCCTATGCATAGATGCTCCGGAATTATTCGGAAATGTTTCTTTGACTTGCGAGGGCTGAGTAGAGGGAGGCAGGAAGACTGGAACCCAATGTGGTATTAGGCCAGGTAACGCATACCTGCTGGAGAAATTTCTAAACCGAGGGTCCGAATGGTACTTATCCCGTGAAAAATGTGTGCTGAAAGTGATAGATCTCGCACCAAACCAGGGTATCCCGCGTAATCCATGGAGGTTGTTGCCTCGATCAAAATAATGTAAAAATCGACTGCGTGCTGCAAAGTAATGCATCGAGCAATTACATCCGCACAGAAAAGTTGTGAAGCAACAGCGGAGGCCACAGCACAGCGATGGCACTATCTGTGAACGTTTACCGCTAAGATAGCTGCACGGATAGGCCCATACGATATCACTCACATAAATTATGCTGAGACATAGGCTAGCACGATACGCGCCCCTCCAAGAGCTCTCCACACCGAGAACACTTCTTCTCTTTATCAATTCTAGCGCACGCTTATCATGAGTGAAGAGCGGACGAGATATCAGAACACGACTCTGCTCACAGAAGACACACAAGCCCGAGGGGAAATAGAAAAACAGCAGACAAAATACCGAGCAAACCGTACTTCGTGAATGACGCATGCTCTCCGCGGAGACACCGAGGATCGACTGTAAATGTTATCGCGACCGTCTTGAATTCGACACAGAGCTAAAGGACACCTACGACGGGCTGAGTCAGATGAATCCGTCCCTTGGGTGGTAAAACTCGATTGGGAGTTCAGATGGAAGACAGGTGGTTCAGATACATGCGATAACTGTGCAGGGTATGCGGAAGGTGGGTACTGGATTGAGGGAGAGTACGGCAACTTATCTCCTGGAGGGAGTGTTGCTGTAGAGATGGGAGACGACCGGGGGATAGTTGACCCCTCTGATGATGATGGAAGTCGTTTCATCAAGGGCCTGGGGACATTTGGATATCGTGCAACATAGTGGTCGTATTTTATACCAGCAGCTGGCCAGGCAAGCTAGTTTGATCTGATAGAAAACATAGGGCCCTGCGCGCAGCATCGCATCCTCCAGGCGAATGTATAAAAAACCTGGGTGGAGGCATCAACGGGCACAGCGAATATGAAACTGAACGGATCACAGCCCGAGGGAGTTGAACCTTGTTCTGAGGTAGTCAGAATTGCCATTGGCTTGCACCATCACGTGAGCGCGAAGGAGAAGAAGCCGGCTAACATTTTCCGCGGAATACGCTGGAATACGGAGGCGAGTCTGGAAAGTCGTCTGGGCATACCGATGAGTGAATTATGCGCTTCGTGGGTATAGTGACAGTACTAGTTCTGTCAACGGTCGCTTCTGGAGGTGCCCACGGTCGCCTGGAAGTAGCACCTCAGTTCTCGACTTGAATTACTGTAAAGTAAGGGAAGCGCACCTGCAAGTACTGTGAGTGCTAACACTTTTCATCATGGCAAGACGACTCACTCCCGGCTGCAGCATTTCAGGTATGCTCCGGAAAGTGAGGCAGTCATGAGATGGTAGACCAATTGCTGTATGGTCGAACAGAAATAGAAGGTGCTTGACTGATATGCAAACCGACAGGGTCGAACAAAGCTGCTTGGGGTTGACAGGGTCTCGCTAACGAACAACAGGAATCAGATCGCGAAAACATGCAAAAATAGAATAGTGTCAAATAGATGAACAAACAGCATCCTGCTAGTAAGTATAGGTACACATCGGATCTCTCGAAGACCCTCCAAGATCAAAGCGGTACGCCGCAACGCGAACATTTCCTATCCGCACCGGCGCTGCAGAACGATAAAATCAGCCAACGTTCTGTCACGACAAGACTACTTAGACATACAAGAGGCGGATAAGGCCGATGGGGAACAGGCATATCGCACAGATAATGCCCACGACGCCATACTGTGTCTTTGGTTCATGATTGCCACTCGCGCAACGAGCCCAGACTAATTCGGAAATATTAGGACGAAGGCGATCGATGAACGAGAAACAATAACTCACGCTCCTGCTGGTACTGCGCGCCCACAGCTGCCGCTCCAGCCTGGAGAGGAGTGAGATAAGGCTATGTTGCACTTCGTGAACCGCAAGGCAAGGAAGAACTCACTGGCATCGGGTTGACTTGGCCATTTTTCTCCATTAGAACTTGTTGGCGATATTTGGATAGCAAGGAATACTGGGTGTGAGGTGCTCAGGGGTCAACCCACTCTTGGTATTTATGCCATCTCGCGGGATCAGGGGCGCTGCATTCTCCCAGTAACTCCTGTCCAATAAACGGTATGAACCATGAAGGGACCTACCTACATCTAAATTGGCTGGCTGCTTGTCACGTTCGACTCAGTACCAAGCCACTTGTGGCTGAACATAACTTGACAGAACGGCGTTTATCCATTCGTAGGCAATTCGTAGGACCAAAAACAACATGATGACTGCATCTGATTGGTGACGAGCGCGGGTTTGGTGAGCGCTATTCGTGCCATTAGCGATGCTAGACTAAAGAAAGCTGTTCGACGACATTCGCGGAAACTTGGGGGTACACCAATCCAATGCGTGCTGTATTCGACCTCGAGAGCGGGAGAATTTTTGGTAGGCATCCCGCGGTGGAACGATGTTGGCGGGCGGGATTGCGGTAGGATAATCCATATTCGAGACACGTACTGCACTTTGAGGTTGTTCCCAATCTTCTTGCATGGTAGAAAGCAACGCCTAGCCCAGCTACCGCTGCGGCCAAGTCACGGTCATGCCAGCCGCCGCCCTTCAAGAGGCCAGCCACAATCTATGGGCGCTTATCATACGTCTCGACCAGAAAGGAAACCGCATAGGAAAGAGCAAAACAGACGCTTGCGGGCACCTGCAATTGCAATTCTAGCTTACCGCTTCGATCCAGTGCAATTTAATGCGATAGGTGTTTTTAGAAACACGAGATGGACATCTCTGGGGTCGACCCTAAAGACCATCAAACAGGCGGTGGCAGCCAGCACTATAGTTAGAGTGCCCGGGCAGCAGCCTCGCCATTTCAATATCATGATGCTCAATTGCGTCCCGCATCTCTCCTAAGAACGTACATTATGCAAGATGACAAGCTCGAGTAGGTGACACGAGTAGGTGATACAAATAACAATCCATCCATCAACGAAACCTACACACGGCTGGAAAGATAAGTCGCCAGCGAAAATGTGAATAAAGCTCTAGTAGGTAGGTCGCAAAGGCGGTGCAGTATAAAGAAGGTGAAGTACGAATGAAAGAAGTGGATGGACAGTCACGCGAGGTTAACGGGGGCGAAAATAACAGCTAGGGTGAGAGCAAGTGAAGAATAACGTTAAGCAGTTCTCGGACATTAATGTCGCTTTTGTCTACCATGCTACAGCGTAACTCGGGATCTGTACGGGGCGAAGTGGTCCCAGATAAGATGATTTCGTGGAGGGAACACGTGTGCGACTCACAGGGTCTCGACTGAGGGATATCTCCCGCTGAACGCCTACTTCGATACGGGATCCCTGCTATGAAACGAATCAAATCGACTGTGACGAACAGCGATGCCTTGCGAATATGGCCCACCGTGGTGATATCTTGATCTTCCTGGTCTTGTTCTGTGATCTTTCCCACCATCAAGAATGTTGGCATCGTGACATGCTCGCCATCCGTTCCACGTCCCCGCAATACCTTGCGAGTGTTTAGCCTACGCAAATGTTCGAAGATCGACCTCAAATAACCGCAGGTGAAATTGAGAGAGACTGAAACATACGTTGCCAAGAAGGAGTTTGCATACACTGGAGCATGGGATCAACATTCTGGAAACATTCATATGAAAGTCACGCACGTTTGCTGACAACAAAGTAACAGCCCATGTAGACGAAGTTTGAGGGCATTGTATCGTACTGCGGTACTCTGAGCTTTTGCAATAGTATGCATGGATAGCTGAAACATACCGTGACCAAGGTCGCCAAACTGAAAGCACTGCATAAGCGACGTGTCAGCGAAGCCAAATCGGTCACGATGATCGACGTCAGAGATTACCTCGTGAGGGCACCCGTGTTTACAGCAAATAATGACAATCTGTTGACTATAGAATCGTCTCTACGTCAACGCAACAGTTTTCGTCAGCGGCGTTCTCGGCAAACATCAGTAAAAATCGCACTTAGTGTATCCCGTGCGCAATTTGCGTAAGAAGATGCACAGGGCGATCGCGGTTACACTGTCAGTTGCTACGCCAATGCCAAGCGACAACGTAGCGACAAACTGCACGCCTCCGATTAGTAATAATTAGAACGGAACGCGATGGCATTCACTCTAAGTTGTGAAGCATCTGCCAGGCTTGACATCTCGAAGCTGAAATAAAGAGTAAGATGGCCGCTGCGTGAAGATATAACGTTGGCGCTCACCCCTTCCGTGTGAACACTGGCGCCCAATGATATGAGCATATCTGACACCAGGGAGTGAACATCGGATTACACACCACAAGCCGTCGCTGGAAAGAGATCGAAAATAGCACGTATCAGCTTCATCCACAGCTGGTCCGAAGTATTCCACATACCCATTTGCGCAAATGTCAGAAGGAGCTGAAGGAGGAACAATGTTTAGCTTGACTCTTTTCACTGCGTGATTCACTCACGATAAGCCCAGTGGCCCAGATGTTGCGGTTACTGACTATTGTGTATCCCTTCAATTAGTGTCACGCACTCATATAAACCCCCCTTAGACGTACATCTCCATACGCGCATTGCGAAGCACCTGCATACAAATTCAGTCAGTGGAGAGATGAACTGGATCCGAACCAGCCCATCTCACGCTTTCACAACGGTGCCTGCAGCAGCCTGTTCATTCGTCAACATATTATTCCACTGCCAGATTGAAGGCACTCCAGGACTTACTCCTAATGTTACTTGTACCTATCATCTCGGCGCTTAATCAGAGACAGGCTTGGGGAACACGTCAGGAAGGCGACTCACCAGGAGGGACCTGAATGATATTCAGCTGTCGAGTCATATAAAGCACATGTAATAACATACCATACTGGTCTGCCCAAAAGGCTGAGAGGCTCTCCCCAGTTACTGTTCATGACGTCCTTAATATCTTAATCATCGAACGAAGATCACACGTACGTGACTAGGTAGAAGTAGACTGCGTGAGCGACGACCGCTTGGTCGACGAACTCCAATATCCTGGATCCTCGTGAGCTCAGGCAAGACGCGACTCGTGATCGGCCTACCAAATGAACGCAACCTGGACTTCAATCAGCTTAATGCGGATGCTTTCAAGTGAGTACCACGTACCAATGCCTTGTAGAACGGTCTATCTTGAGGGTACCGTCGGAAATAGGTGTATGTCTGCATGCTCAGCGCTCCCAAGCATCTGTAGGGATACCGGAGGGAAGGGGGAGTCAGTGGCCCACTGATGATACGTAGCTGGGCTCACAGCGTGGAGATCGAGAACCCGATGAACGCTGCGCCCAGGACGGCATCTTTGCTGAAGAGGAATGCCATTGGGCCAGCGCGAGGATGAAGGGAAAGGAGTGTGGTTTAAGAGATGACGATTCCGCGGACCCAGCGTCGTACGTCGAGAGAAAAGAGGGACGAACAACGCGCGTCGACGCGCTTGGAATAGATGAGGAAGAGTGTTAGATCTAATTCCCAAGGTCATTATTATCAGCATGGTTCAAGTGTTCATGCGCACACTAGCCAACCGCGCTACTGCACCCGCTCGAACGGTTCCACCTTTATCCGAGATCACTAGATAAACTACTTTTCAGATCTCCCGCACGAAATTAATGATCTACTTCACAGTATTTGACTAAAGCTTTGCAACAGATCTACACATACATCCATGCGGTTGGCAAGACCGCACTGCCCCAACAATCTCTTGCAAACAAGAAAACAGGTATGTCGAGCGCCCGAGTCTTCTGATCCCGGCGGTCGCCCGACCACTCCAGCGGCTGGGAATCCAACCCCAACCGGGGAAAAAACCGAGATTCAAAATAGATGGTAGAGGCACAGGAACTTACACTTCTAATCGCGGTTGCGCAGGCCAAGTTGGATGTTTCACAACGCCAGCGCTCGAGGAAAACAAACGGCTCAGCGAAGATTTGGGGAGCGTGCCTCGCTAAGTATCCTGGTGGCTGGTGCACGAGGGGAACTGTCATGGTAACCAGTGGCAGAAGGCCGCAGTGTCACGGAGCACCGTATCCAGGCTCACCCATGTGAGTCCTCCGTTTTCACCATTATTAACACGTCTAGGCTCGAGCGAGGACTGTACATGATCGTTTCCGCTATTTGTAGCTTGGCCAATAATTTCCTCGGAATGGAGCGTCGGGGCATCTGTTATGTGCGCGCGGGGCGCCAATGACGCGCCCAAACGCGCTACTGAGAGAAGCGCGGCGCCGTCCGCCAGTCGTCCTTGTACATGCATCGACAGACCGCGCAAGACATGGGACGGGGTCAGTAGTCGAATAGGGTTGGTCTGCGTGTTGTCTCTGCATCGCCACCGGTCCTCCCTACCCAGCGTACGAAACGCTGCCTCGTCATACCGGAAGGCGTCCAAGCCTCGATGCACGAGCAATTCCGCAAATGACTTGGTGAGCAACGCGAGAATGGCATACGGCGCGAGCTGCTCCTCCATCTTCTCTCGTGGCCGATGGAGCTCAGTGCGGGTTGAAAGTAGTGCGTTCTGATCAGCGGAGATCTGATCGCCGGCATTGAACTGTTCAAGGTTCCAACTCGAGACGAGAGTGCGGAGAGCTGTGATGAAATTAGGATCTGTGCTAGCGACTAGGGCAGAAATAGAGAGCGGAGTGTCTCCCGACCTGCACGCATCTCTTTCCGAAAACAATGCAGCATTCAAGGGGTACTGTCGAGGACCAGTCCGCGAGGCCGTCAATGAAAGAACGTCGAACAGCGGCAAACGAGTACGTGCTCCACTGAACGTGAGGCAAGCGGTAGGCGCAGTCGTCATCGAGTTCAAGGTCCATCTCGGCGTGACATCAGGGGGAAACAGTCCCTCCCTCTTGACTCCGGTCGGATGGAAGATGATATGAAGTCCACAGTTCCGACAGAAGATCTCCGAGAGCGCCGCAACTGATCCGGGTTCAACATCGCGCTTGATCGCCTGTGGCTTCGCTTCCTGAACCATCCGCTTGCGGCTCACCGGTCGCGGGAAGAGATTCTCGTCCTCCATCCACCGGTACACGTCCGACCCCGTGAGAGGTAAATGATCTTGCTCAGGATGAGATGCACAATGGCGCTGGTACGCATCACGCAGAGCCCGTGCGCGCCCCATCTACACATTCAGTGAGCACGAATGTCTAGGAGGACGATGGACTTCGAAAGTCACCTCAATTGCCTTGCGTCGCCCCGCTAGCAGGTTCCGAAATTGCGCAGGCGTAGATACCAGCATATACGGCAGCTGGGCGGGCAGACGGCCCTTTACATCTGATGCATATTTCCACCATCAGACGCAGTGGAAGATGGACCAGAGAGTGGATACTCGCCTCGCAGTGTCATGGGGACCTGTGGCAATAGCGATCGCAACTTGACGACGTACTCTGCGGCGCACTCACATATCAATTTGTGTAATAACGCGCAATGATATCGCGTAGATGAACGAACCTGGATCTCCAGCGGATTCGGCCTTCTCATCGGTCGACTTGCTACGTGCCTTACCAGCTGAGTGATCATCGTCCCAAGGTATGGCTCCGAGGTCCTCACGGACTGGGCGAAGTTCGGTATTCCTGTCCAACTCAACATCGAACACTTGCTCGTCTCCTACAACGGGATGCGCTAGATGTAAGGGATCGAGCTGGAAACGCATCCAGAAAACAAAATCATCAGCGGCGAAGCCCCGACTATCCACGACTACTCGCCTCCACCCAGTGCTCAATTTCCATTGGAGGATTGATATGCCCCACCCACGTTAGCATGACCCGAGCGAGGAACGGCTTATCTGTTGTGCCCATGACCAGGAATGGAGGCTCTGTGATGGTGATTGGTTGCATCAAAGTTGACGGTGGTGGATCTGTGAGACACGTGACAGTAAGCTTAGCAAGGAAGCTTGTGATGTGCAGGCTCTGTTAGAATGATGAGCATGGACACAGCAATTCGCAGCAAGCAACTCACGTAGGATGGAGAGGTGACGGAAAGACGCCAACGATGAGTATGATTCTGCCTTGACTCGACGCGATGCTCTATAAAGGCAGACTCATCGGCACTGCTCGTTTGTCAGTACCAATGCAGGAGTCGCACCTGAAGGTAGCCAGAGACTTTGATCCACAACGACGAGACGAGCGGTTATATGGAATCGGCTTCCGAGTATACTGGAGGTGACAGCATGTTCCGTCCTTGGCAGCGAACCAGCCTCAGTCTGAGCGTCATCACGCACGTCGCCGTCAACGCGCTGCGACTCCTCGACGGAAGGTATAATCAGGTCCAGTTCTGGGCGAGCGATACTGCGATGAGTGTACGGCTTATGCCACGCTTGCCGACCACGTCCATCGACACAAATAATTCCTCCTATGATGTCGACATCTTCCCCCTCGTACACATTAATGCAGCGCTTCTTTGGTGCTCGGCCAAGAAAGGGCGCAAGCGCAGGTGTGTCCTTATGGTGACCCAATGTTCGAGTGATAGCCGTATTGGTAGGCGTCAAGTCCTGAGCGAGGTCTGAGGTCTGATGGCTATCCGCACCACGCACGGCTTCCGACTCGATCTTCGGAGTGAACACATGTTCCCCTTCTCCAACCGCTATCTGGAACAGCCTTCGTAAACTCGGTAAACCGATGCCGCCCAGCTCCGTCCCGTTGGCGACCACCCAGTCGCGTTCAGCTTCTGGTACAATCGCCGCACAGCTCTCTATACACTCGTCATGGCTGCCGTATTCGCGATGGTGACGAATACGACAGTGATTCAGTAAACCCTGAAGATTTGAGAAGTCGGAACGTTTACAGTCTGGGCATGCAAGTTTCGCAATTTCAGAGGGGTCGGTGTTGAAGTTGTGCAAGAAGAGTAATTTCCTCGCAGGAGGTGGCGGAGCACGAGGCATACCGCGTACGCGAGAGGAACCGGCACGGAAGGAGATCTGTGGTGTAACGGAATTTTCAGGTGGTAGCGGAGCCTGCTCGATTGGCTGCACTATCATTGGCTTCGGAGGAAGTCGAGGTTCTCGGTCAATGATGATGTCGCAAGGGGCTTCCATTGCATCTAAGGTGTCCAGTGCAACCTCATAGAAATCGGACTCATCAGGTCCATGACCTATCAGCACGGCTTTAGCAAGAAAGGGCAGCATGAACAATCGCGCCCACGTCTGAGGTCTCTTCCGAGAGACTCTTGCAGAAGTAACGCCCATGTAATGCGTGACTGGATGGTGTCTGACAAGCGTTCTCTGAGTGCTATCTCGACGTCCAGTTCCTCCTGCAGCACTTGAGAGAAAAATCGCCCTGTGTCCGCCGACCTTCTGGGTAAATTCTTATAATATCCAAATTGTGAAACAGCATACATTCTTCAATTTGGTCTGCAGTTCTCCTTCGTTTATGGGGTCTCTTGTCGCCAATCTCCTCGTCTGAAGATGCCTGACTCTGAGTGGAAACCATACTTCATGTGAGAAGTGGTTGAGGTTGAAGAGCAAGATTTCTAAGATTTCGCCGTGATGTGACGCTCGCGTGTGTCACACGGCACGGGTCACCGACAGTGACGCGCGCTCCAGCCACGAAGTTCCGACTTGTCTCTATCCAGCAGCCATGGGTATCAAAGGTCTCACTAGCCTCATCGTCGAGCACGCACCCGAGGCAATTCAGGTACAGTGATTCCCAAGTCATTTTCTCCTCCGCAAGGTGACCATGATTCTAGGAGCACGACATCAAGACTCTCTTCGGCCGCAAAGTCGCCATCGACGCGTCCATGTCGATATACCAATTCCTCATTGCCGTCCGTCAGAAAGACGGAGAGTTATTGACGAATGATGCAGGAGAAACAACAAGGTGAGTTTTGTGTCCTCTTCATAGTGATCGGTACGCCGCTGAAGTGAATTCGTAGTCATCTCATGGGCTTCTTCTATCGCACAATTCGCATGGTAGAGAATGGGATCAAGCCGATGTATGTATTCGATGGCAAACCGCCAGAACTCAAAGCTGGCGTGGTAAGTCTTGCCCCTTCTCCTGGTAATGTCTCGGATCCTTACGACTCGACGTTACTGCAGCTTTCGAAGCGATTGGAGCGGAGAGAAGAGGCGAAGGAGGAGGGTGAAGAAGCAAAGGAGACAGGTCTGTATCACGACTATAATATCGTGGATAAGCTGACGTTCGTCCGCAGGTACCACCGAGGATGTGGACAGATTCTCAAGGCGCACCGTCAAAGTCACACGAGAGCACAACGAGGAGTGCAGGAGATTGCTAGGACTGATGGGCATCCCATTTGTTGTGGTACGATCCCCGATGTGTCCATCTGGCCTGGCCACCTCTGAACTGTATCGCAGGCGCCATCGGAAGCCGAGGCGCAGTGTGCAGAGCTCGCACGGGGCGGAAAAGTATACGCTGCGGGGTCCGAAGACATGGACACGCTCACATTCGCCGCGCCCGTCCTATATCGACATCTTACCTTCTCAGAGGCTCGCAAGCAGCCCATCAGTGAGATCAACCTGTCGAAAGCTCTCCAAGGCCTCGACATGAACATGTCACAGGCAAGTCGACACCCCTCATACATTCAACTCTCACGTATCCGTCATTCTAATGCACCACACGGTAGTTCATTGATCTCTGCATACTTCTCGGATGCGATTACCTTGAACCCATCAAGGGTGTTGGTCCGAAGTCGGCACTCAAGTTGATACGAGAATACAGCGACCTCGAGACCGTCATGGAGCACTTGCGGGACAAGTACGAGAACGTCACTTACCCCTTATCTCCGTCACTAAGCGAGTTCCTGTCGTCTAGGACAGCCGCGAAAGAAGAGGCAGCGGACGATGGTAAGAAGAAGAAAGGCGGTATCCAGATTCCTGAACAATGGCCTTGGGAGGAGGCCAAGAAGGTATTCGAGAAACCAGATGTGACACCTGCGGATGAGATTGAGGTTCATCGTCGATTATTATACCTTGTCGAGTGCCATTAATGCCTGTGTCAGGTTGAGTGGAAGAACCCCGACATCGAGGGTCTAGTTCAATTTCTCGTCACAGAGAAGGGTTTCAAGTATGTCTCCAGAATCGTACGACTGTCGTCTGAAGTGGCTGATCCCGCTGTAGTGAGGAGCGTGTACGAAAGGGTGCAGAGAAGCTCGCAAAGTTCCTCAACGCAAAGCAGCAAGGTCGCTTGGATGGGTTCTTCTCTGTCCAGGCGAAACCGCCGGCAAAGAAAGAAAAGGGCAAAGACACTGGTAAGGGCAAGGACACCGGAAAGGGCAAGGATGCCGACAAGGGGAAGGGGAAGGGAACAAAACGAAAAGTCCGACCTTCCATCATTCTCTGTTGCTCGTGCTGACGGTCGTGTTTGTAGGACACTGATGGAAAAGACAAGAAGGAAGCAGGAAGTAGCAAAAAGGTGAAGACGAAGAAGTAGTGTTATCTGCCATGTCTGACTCTCTTTTCTGGATCTTCTGGCCTGCGGGTTTTTGCATGTCATATATCGTTATGTACCTTGTGTAGCTGTATCACCATAAAAACATTCCTGCTGGACAATCCGTCGAACGAAGTATATGGCACAGCACATACGCGTACTATGGCGTAAGGTCATCACCTACTTCTTCGTGTTCATCTTGGCCAGCGCCCTCCCACTTCTTACTCTTCTCTTAACCTTCTCCTGCAAGGCTCCCGGCGCCTTCTTCTCTCCCGCCCGCTTCCGCACCCGCTCCCGGTCGATCTTCACCTTCACCCCCTTCTCCGCTAGGGCTTTCGCCTTCTTCTTGGCGAGCCGGCGCGCCACACGGTCGGGGTCAGCAGCCTTGACGTGCTTGCGCTCGTCCTTCGACAGATGTGAGATCTTCGTGCCTAGTGTGGGGTCCCCTCTGGGTGCTGGGGCTGTCCGAGCCTGCGCAGTACCAGGGTGTTTCACCACGGAAGATGATGCGGTGGAGGACTTGAGCGGTCTTGCAGGCCTTGTAGTGACCTTCGAACCTGGAGGTATCTTGCAGCGCTGCGCACGCAGTTTACGCTTCGCGAATTTCAGACGGTCTTGTTCCAGGGCAAGGATCTCGTCTACACATTCTCGATCCTGTGCAGCACACAGATGTAAGATGAAGCAGTAGTACGACGAAGGAGATACTGACGATAAACTGGACATATGCGAAGCCCTTCCCGAGCTGTGTGTCCTGGTCTCTGATAATGCGAACACGCTTTACCCACGTCCGCGGTTTCAACGTTCTCGCATTTTCGATCTTCGTGTCCTCATCTTCGTCTTCCTCGTCCTCTTCACCACTATCGCCCCCTTCTGGAGGCGGACCCCTCTCTGCACTGACCAGCGCCTCAAAGAACACCCTCAAGTCTTCCTCCTTACTTGCGAAATCCAAATTTCCCACGAACACCGTGGTCTTGGGATCGCCTGCGATGTCGCCATTTTTGCCAGGGTGTTCACTATCCCGTCCTACTCTGTCCGCGCGCAGCGTCCTCTCCATGAACACGGTACCATCACAGAGCTCAGCAGCGGTCTTGGCCGCCTCATACGGATCCATCGTCAATGCAGACGGAGGCATGTTGCCCACGCGCGCAGCGGTAGAGGGCGGAGCGTGCGCGAACACGACATATGCGTTGACGGCGTCCACGCCCTCGTGGATCTCGTGCTTGATGAACGCGATTCGCTTCTTCTCTTTCGGGGTGAGATATGTCTTCCTCGCCTCTTCCTCGTGCTGCCCCTTCGATGCCCGCCAGAACGCAGCGCGGTCACGATCGTGCTGCCTTCCATCCTTGTTGCTTATTGTTTTGCCTTTTGTGTCAAATTTGTCGCTTGACATATCGGTCAGGGCGGGCAGCTGAGATGTGGGCTTTTGAAATGCGACGGAGCGGAAGCGCATAGATTCGACTTTGGCAGTGGGTACGAAGGAGAGGATGTATCGCTTAAATTGCTTCTGTAGCGACTACGCAGAGAAGAGTGGATCAGAATTATGTACGTGCATACAAATGAGAAGTTACCGACCCGACTCTTAGCTACTTCAACGGGAACGTTGCCAACGAATATTGTTCGTGCATTTCGGCGCTCCATTGTCTCGTCTGGAGGAACGTGCTTCGTTCTGGTACGCCCATGCTGCTTCGATTGACTTTCTTTCGAGAGAGACTCGTGGAGGAGGCGTGAGGACAAGTCTTCGTTTTCGGACTGAGAGTCTTCAACGTTACTTGAAACCTCAGCATTGCGACTCGTACTGCTTGACTGTCCATGTTTCTGGCCGGCTACTGTCGGACTGTCTTGATCATGGTCGTCTTCTGAGACCGCCTCCGGCACGGCAGCTACACTACGTGCCCTTGAACGTTCACCCCCAGGAGCCGGGTTTTCCGAGACTGACAACAGAAACATCAGTGGGAGGTGTACAAGACCCCGAGATAATGGACGCACCTGTTTCCTTCTCGCTCTCGCCCTTCGACCTCTTTGATTTCGTAGACCCTGCATCCTGTAGTTTGCGCTTCTTTACCCGTTTCCCACGTTCAGAAGAACCGTGTAGTTTACTCTGATCTACATTAATTGGTTGAGCGTCGGTAGAAGGATCTGTTTGGGAAGCTCCTGTCTATGGAAAACCTAAGACGAAAAATGAATGAGTGTCTTGCAGATATTTACTTACACTCGAGTGGAAAATGTCGTCGAGCCTTTTGTCCAAGACCACTTCCTTCCCCTTCTTCGAGCTGTTCTTTTCGTGCGCACTTATAAGAAAGGATGACAGACTCATTTTAGCAGAGCTGATAGAGGTAGGAATTCCTGCCTAACCACCTTCGAAACCACGGTAACTTGCCGCCGATCGTTCAGCACGTGACTGACGCGATCTCCTGAATCCTGATAGGACACCTTCAAGTTCGCACCTCGCCGGCATATGTGCAAGAAAGACTCAAGCTGCCCAGGCGGCGCGACTTGGTGGGTGCCACCCGCCTGAGTTTCCGGAGCATTTGATTTCGCAGTCCGCACCGTGAGCCGGTTTTTGGGAGGGCACGGTGCCTATCGATACGGCCCTTGCTGACAGTTGCTGTAAGTGCTCTGCACCTGAGGCCTGAGCGCCAGTGAACTACTATTAATAATAATAGTTTCCCACATATAAAGCCTGCGCCTGCTGACCATGCCCTAGCATTCCCGCCACAGTATGTCCGAGGTAATCATCTTCTACGATATCCCGTCCCGAGATGTCAAGGACGTCGCCTGGTCGCCCAACACCTGGAAGACGAGGTAAATCATCACGTCCTAGCTCGAAATCACGATCTTATCATCCGTTGTCGGCCTAGATTTTCCCTGAACTATAAGGGCTTGCCTTACAGGACGGTATGGGTCGAATATCCAGACATCGCCCGAGTCTGTCGAGAGATCGGTGCAGAGCCGACCAGCACTTCGGAGGATGGCTCCCCCTACTATACCCTCCCCGCGATCTACGACCCATCCACGAAGACGGCCATATCTGAATCCGGGAAGATAGCACGTTACCTCGACAAGGCATATCCAGACACTCCCGTGCTTATCCCCTCCGGAACCTGCGCACTCCACGCTGCATTCCAAGAGGTATTCCTAATGACGGTTCAGCGCCGGATGCAACCACTCATGTTGCCTCCGACGAACAACATCCTCAATCCGCCGAGTGAAGCCTATTTCAGGAGGACGAGAGAGAGCAAGTTTGGGAAGCTGGAGGATTGGTCACCCCCTGGGCCTATTCGTGAGAAGCATCAGGAGGATCTGCGGGTCGAGCTCACCAAAGTCGCTGTATGGATGGCGTCAGACGGTGAAGGGAAACCGTTCTTCATGGGTGATACCATTCACTACGCCGATATCACCATTGCGGGCTGGTTGGTATGGATGAAGAAGGTTTTGGGTCCCGAGTCGCAGGAATGGACGAGACTCAAGACTTGGGATGACGGGAAGTGGGGCACTTTCATGCAGGCGTTCGAAAAGTATGAAATTGTAGGATAAGACGGTTCGCTACCTTGCTCGATCAGCCTTTGAAGTAAACCGTGTACGAGAGTCAGTTGCAATCATCGTGTTACGTTTCTGACGTGCAGTGTATTATTGATATCGTTGTGAGTTGATTGACCAGCTCAGTCCAACGTGCACGACAAGAACATGCATTGCGAATGAATAGTGCTATGCGTAAGTAAGCCAAAAGGACGTCGATTAACAGGGCAATCACGGTGAACTAGATGGTGCATAATGGTCACGGTCACGGAAGAATGGACATCAACATCATGATAGAGAGAAAGCGACGCGTTGAAGAGACCCAAGAAAGCAAGACATCAAGAAAAAGACAATCATTATAACAACCACATCAACGCGTTCCAATGCGTGCAAGACAGCGATACGAGAGTGCAACCAAGAACCACGTCGACGTACAGGAGCAAAACATCGTCACACTCAAACCACAGCGGTGACCACGGTTTTACTGGTCTCAAGCTCCTCGTGCCTCTCGACCTTCTCCTCCGAAACGACTTTGTGGCTCTCCGTGACGGTGGCAACCTGGTCGCTGATCACAAGGCCTTCGACCAAGGAACTGGCTACGTCCTTCGCCGTAGCAATATGGTCGTTAATCGCTCTGGCTGCGCCCCTCGCTGTGCTGGCATTATGGGCATTGACAAGGCCTTCCACGACGGTGGCACCGCCACTGATCCTGGGGACGAGAGGTTCGTCGACCTCGACGGTGGCACCGCCGCTGATTCTGGGGACGAGAGTTTCTTCGACCTCGACGGTGGCACCGCCGCTGATTCTGGGGACGAGAGATTCGTCGACCTCGACGGTGGCACCGCCGCTGATTCTTGGAATGAAGTGCTTGTCGAGCTTAACAGTGCCAATACGCGGAACCGCAATGCCATTGGTCACAGCGGCACCATTTCCAACGCGAACAGTCTCGCTCAGAGTGTGCGAGGCCGTCTCTAAAAGTGATACCGTCAGTTATATCGCCGCAGTGAATGATAACAAAGATGAACGCACTCAAGCTAGAGCTGAGAGTCCGCGTGAACGATGCTGCGCGAGGCGACGTAGCACGCGAGGCGCTGATACTGACCGAGCGAGCACTGGCAATGGGCACATGGAGACCACAGGGACGCGCCTCAAAGATGAGGTCTCCCTTGACGTTGAAGCCCGGGTTCGCGAGCGTGTAGCCATAAGTCGAGGGGTAGCTGTACTGCCAGATCCCTTCGAAGGCACGGAGCTCACTGAAGGTATTCTCCAGGTCAATGCGAGACGGAAGAGTCTTCTGGAGCAGGTCATGCGGATCCTGGTATGCGACGACGTGGGAGCCAAGGTCCCCTACGATGATAGCCTTGTCGATGACGGGAGCGATGCGACCAGTTTCCTTGACTTTCAGACCACCAGTCTCGGTCGCGAGAGCAAAGGATGCATCCCACTTCGAAGCGGACTTCACACTGCATAAAATTCAAGTCAATAACAGCTGCGTCCATATAAGCCAGGCACATACGTCCAGTTCGTGGTGGCGGACTTGAAGGACAGTTCCACCGTGACCTCTCCCCAGACCTTAATTTCCAACGTCTTGTTGTTGATAGTCGTGGGGATCTCGACAAAATTCTGGGTCAAGCCTGAGAGGGTAAAATGAATGAGAAGACTGCACTAATGCATGCAGTATGCACTCACAAGACACGCCATAGGAACCATTGGTGAGGTACTGGTTGCCCTCATGCTCGTAGTTCCAGATATCGCGATGCTGCCATTTGTACGTCGAGTAGCCGTCGCGCCCCTTCTCTTGCACGCAGATGCACTTGTGGTTCTTCCGATGAGGGTGCTTCTCCCACGTCGTGAGCTCTAGATCCCAGACGTCCCGGTCCACGCCCGAGAACTTAGGAATTACAGTAGTGGCCGCATTGATACGTGCGACCTGGTCGAGCAGACGTTCCTGCGCGAAGATGTTCCGGGCGACGCTAATGGTGCCGTAGGTGAGGCGACTGTTCATCCGAATGACCCACGAACTTGAGAACTTGAGGTGGAGCTCCTTCATAGGAGCGAAGCCGGTCATACCGAGGATCACGATGATGGGCTCCCTGCCAGCGGTAGTATGAGTCCAGTTGTGACAGCTGACGGCGGTCTGCGAGTACACATGGAAGATCGCAGAGGTAAGGCCGTACGCAGGAGGAGTGGAACCCTCCTTCCACACAGGGACAGTATGAAGGAGATGGAGACCGCCCTCGGTCAGCTTAGAGAAGTAGAACGACTTGATGTGGTGAATCGCAGTCTTGACGTTTGCAATAGGCCTGCCGCTGATGTCACCGAACAGCTCTTTCAAGCACGAATGCTCGTGAATGAAGTCCGCAGCTGCGTAGGTTCCGTGAGCAAGGTTACAGCTTCCAGAAGATCAAGACATACTGCTGAAGTCAAAGTAAATGTGACGGAGTTCGCGGTCGGTCTGACGTCCGTGATGTTTGTACGCTTGCGAGTTCTGATATTTCGTACGCCATGTCTCAGAGATACCTTTCAGCTCAGCATGGTTGCACATCTTGAGGTCCACTTCGAAGGCAAGACGGCATTCACCAAATTCGTGCTTCTGCGAGCTGCAGGTGGGTGAGTATCAATGTCAGCCTGCCAAAAAAAAATTGCACGTACCCTTTCTCATGAACCTTGATATGGCCACGCTCCAGATGGATGAAAACAAGAGCCCTGCCGTCGCTCAACAGGCGGAAGGTCATGGGCTTGAACGTCGCCGAGAAGGTGTCCTGGTATGTCCACGACGACAGCGAGAATATCTCTTCAGTGGTCTTGGATGTTTTGCTGATGAGCCAGAGGTTGTTGAAATGCTCATTGATAGAGGCTTGGGAGACGGCGATGACTTGGTGGAACCCGAACATATCAGAATTCGACAGGATCTCCTTCCGGCTCGACACCTCCGTGCTGACCGTGGTAGTAGTCCGAGTCTCAGTAACGTCCGACCAGGTACCTCTGGTGATGGTCTCGTCTTCCTCCAGTTTGACAGAACGCTTGTCGTGATAGTAGACGATGTGATAGTTGGCGTTCTCCAGGATACGGAAATATTCCTTCTTGAAGAACTCCAGCAGGATGGACCAACAGGAAAACTCTTCATCACTCGCGTCCGCGTGCTCGAAGCCTTCAAACACAGACAAGGTCTCGGAGACGAGCGCCGCTATGGATGGAGATGATCACGGTCAAACGATGCACAAACACAAATAGGGCATTTACACTTACTATCCATGTCAATCTGGCAGCTAACGACCGAACCGTCAGCTTCTGTGAGGTGATGAATCTCAGCAAGGACAGCAATCTCCCAGTTGGTGTAGCGCAAAAGGGGCGCACTGGAGCACGACATCAATTCACGTTTTGGGCACGTATTTACATAAATCGACTTACGCGTGGAAGTCAATACCAGGATAGAACGTGACTTCATTGATTTTAAAGGTTACGATGGCTTCGCGCGAGCACAGGAGCTTGATCTTAGGTGCACCGAAGCTGATGTGGAAGTGTGTCTTTGCATCCTCCGGGAAAACGACCGTGCTACGGAACTCCGCGAGAGAGGAAGACTTCCAGTCAACGACGTCCTCTTCGTCAACGGATGCAATCATGGCGGCCTTCAGCCACGCGGACACGAGTCCATCATTGAGGTCGCGCAAAGAGATGCCGTGAATGCTGTCGAGACTCGTAGCGGTGGAATTGATGAGGGAGTAGTCGATAGTCAAGCGATAGCGATCGTCGTCAAAGTCCGGGAGGGAGAAGAAGACATGATTTCCGGCGTCTTGCAGGAACTGCACATACTTCTCCAGGTAGAACGAGAGAGCATCCCTACCATTAGTGACAGGTGGACGAAGCGACACAAGCTTCCCTTCTGCAAAGATCAAATGCTTCAGTTTACCCTTCTAGCACGAAGCAAATAGCTACTCACTCGACAGATCCAGGACCACGAGCTGAATGAGATTCTGGCCGCGACCAATCTGTGCATCCCGGCCGCTGATGGCTTTTCGAACGAAGCTGACGCGGAATACCGCCTCTAAGTCATGAATCTCTTGGAAGGGTGAACTGACAGACTTGTAATTAGGTTAAGAGCCGAGAAATATCATGAGCAGACATACCCTTCCAAAGACGCCTCTGAGCTATGATTGAGGTGATAGTGGCCACTCTCAATCTTGATACGGAAGAACGCATCATGGTTGCAGATGAACTCAAGTTCAGGCTTCCTAAAGACAGCCTGGAACTTCGCATCGCCGTGCGACTCCCCAAACGAGAAATCGACCAGGGCATGTGAATATTCTGCAACAGCAGTGAGCAGGATATGGGGCGGACAAAAAAAAACTGATACATACTGAAGCGGTCTTCCGACCTATGTGCGTTGCCGTGATCCTTCACACAGGAGAGTGCGTTGTCGTACAGAGCCGCGAGCTGCGCATTAATATAGTGCACGGCTTGAGGTGCGCAATTTTCGCCAACACACATTTTGAATCAACTGTACGGAGGGTGCATCAGGATGGCAACAATACAAGAGGTGGTTATACTTACTGGGTCGCAGAGGTTCAAGTGATTACGGTGGAGGTCTGGAAGAGTGAGGCAAGCTGGGTGAGGGAACCCGCTGAAGGTATTGAGCTTTTATATGCCTCCGCCATGCCAAAGTCTGACCGTCGGGCATGTTCAATACCGTTCGTATAACTGAATTGAGAGGAGTATATCGGCGAAGACTCCCACGGGCGCACCCCTGCCACGATAATCATGTTACGGGAACACATAAGTCCCACAGGCCCGCAAAGTGTGCCAAATCGGAGATTTCTCATCACCGCGTAGCGGCGACAGACCGGGGAGAGACGATCTTCATCTCGCGAAGCGACTGTATTCTGTGACTTGAAATCATAAAGGACATCTAAGGTACCAAATGAAGTGCACAACTGGACGATAATTGGACCACACAATTGTCTTAAGAAAATTCCACTGTGTTGTAGAGCAACTTGTGCAACGCCAGCGAAGTAACCACAGCAGAGATAAAGTGAAGCGGGGCAGTAACCGCTTAGTAGTTAGTGCTGTGTCACGTTAGGGTGGATTGGAAGACGGATGTAGAGGCACAGGAACCGGCGTCACTCACAGTTGACTGACGCGCGAACTATTCCATTCAATGCCGTTGTTGCCTCGCGCCGTTACAATTCATGGGAACAGCGGAATTCAAAGAACACGGACCTTCCAATCCCTGATTGACTCCTTCCATGACTGAAGCTCGGTTGATTCTCATCTACGATTCTCTGTCAGTCCGAGTGAATGTTGGCAACAGTGAACAAAACTTTGACAAGGTGAGCAGTGAAGCTGAAGGATTAGGGTCGCGCTTGAACAGTGCGCGATCACCTGATTCATTGAACAAAGCGCGAGATAAGTCGTCATCACAGAAAACTGGTGATCTGTTCTGAAGGACCACACTGCAGAGGCCCAGGTGTAAAGATTGAAGACGCCAAGTTCCGTTCACGCGCACTAGCTGGCACGTGGCCCAAGCCGCTGAGATGTCCGATCTGATGCCCCCATTTTAGGTAACTGCAGTATTTCGCGAACCGTTTGAGCGGTGAAATGATACACGGAAGTTGTCAGCCGTCAACTTAGCGTGCGCATTCGACGTGGCCTGAACAGCTTTCCGGACATATACGAACCCCGTACTTGAGCACCAGTGGAAAACGCGTATTGTGAGATCGCAGCAAGTCGCACGAGGTCGTGGCTGTGACCAGCTGCGACCAGCCGCGAAAATTTGGACTATATGCGATCTTGCGCGAGCCCAATCAAACGTGGTCGCAGGCTAGCACAGTGCCAAGCGGGAGAATCGAGGCATTTCGCATCTAGTCGAATATTAAGCTGCTGTATAATAATTGTATTGTCGTGATTTAATACACTGTGACTACACTCGACGTCGTGTGAGCACCCTCGCCGTCGTGCGAGCTCCTGCGACATCGCGCGATCTACTTCGACCTGCTCCGCTCACACCCCCGCCCCCGCTCCCACCCCTGCCTGCGCCCCCGCCCCCGTTCCCGCCCCCGCCCCCGCTCCTGCCCGTACCCCCGCCCTCGCACCTACGCACCCCTGCACCTACGCACCCCTGCACGCACGCGCGCGCCCATCCCCCTGCCCGCGCACGCACCCGCGCACTGGCGCGCAACCGCACACATCCGCACTCCCTGTGTTCGCCGTCGTCCCCGTTTTCACACCTGGATGCTGCCCAACACCTGTAATATAAGTAGAGTTAGTGAATATGTGTCATAGCATAGATAAAGAATGAGATAAGGTAGAGAGGTCCGCTACAAAGTCGGTGCAAGCGCAGCTGTTCACGCTCAGGCTGACTGGATAGTCGAGGTCGTCCAGACGGCTTCTCGCGCTCGAAGTGTGCATAAAGGCCCGGCGAGCTCGTTAGTCGGGGTCGTCGGAAGAGAGATGTGTGACCGCGGAGCCTGCTACAGGGGGCGGGGGGTTTTGGACGCCGCAAACGAACCTCTCGCAGTGCGAGACGATCGCCTCGGTGCGCTCGGTCCTCGCTCGGTCCATGTGCCCCCCGCCCGCGCGCCCAAATATCGATCCTCTGACCCCGGATTTCCCGGTATATGCGCCAGAAGTCGACGTGCCGTGTCCGCATCCACATCCTTGTACTCACCTGGTCATCCTAACTTGCCCCATCCCCCCACTTCTCAACTTCTCGATGCGGGTCATGTCTATCGTGCGCGCCAGGGTCGCGAATCGGCGAATGCGGCGCGCGGACGGGACTGCTCGGATGTCTTCGTTTGGCTTTGGAGCCTGGAATGCGGCACGCGTACCGCGCCCAGCCGCTTGAGATTGAGGGGCTAGTCAGTGCCCCCCAATTGAAGGCGCAGATGGAAAGATCATGGGGATCTCAACGAATGTGGATAGTATCGGATCGCCTTCTTATCGGAAGATTAGCATAACATGATCCACACTTGCACGTAGGCAGTACTTACTACCGTAATCAGCAGCAACGCTGCAAGTACACCAGAGGGGGTCTCTCGACCATCTGATAAGTAAATTTAAGGACATTTCAGGTGCCTGGATGCCTGACACAGAAACTGTCACCGTACCTCGTCAATAGGGGCACATCAGAGGATTACAGTCAGGAAGACGAACACACATTCACATAGTCCGGATGTGTCGCAATGCGCACCACGCGTGCACCAGAAAGCAGTGCAAACTTGTTCTCCCGGAACTGCTGCGAGATTAGACAGGGAATGAGATGTAGAACAGTTCGCACTGTGCGGGGTGCGGGCAGCTGTGCGCACTCGAGCGTGGCATGACCGTCACATTGAGGCAGAGAAGGCTGTTGAGCCACTTCTCGACGGTGTCTTCGGCCGCATATAAAATCGGTGTCTCGAGCTTGCAGTGTGCACGCTTTCGGCGGTGCCTTGACGATGGGCTTCTTGAAGCTCGAGCTTACCGCTGCATCGTCTTCGCCCGCGGCGGTGTCTTTAGTACGCGAGGGGTGGGTGCTCTCATGGAGCTGTTGGATGAGCTTGAGTGAGAGTAATCGGCCGGTATAATAAGCATCGTGCTCTGGAGGTCAGAGCGACTGGATGCAGGAGGACAAGAGCGCAGACGTGGTGGCGACATGAGTACGGTGACGCGTCCATGTCTCTGTCACATGATGAGCTCGGCGTGGGTGCAAAGAGATGATATAAGTGCAAGTACACTGGGCACAAGTACAACATATAGTATATAGCTAATCGAGACACGCGTGCAGGCAAAATTCGACAGCTGGCGGCCTTACGTCGAGCAAAGTGCAATTCAGACGGGACATGGTACAGGATCGACGCGTCAAATCACAGGATGTCTCGCACGTGTTCGACCAGGTGAGATCTGGTTCGACCGCTTGCGATAGTCCAAGTCAAGCCGCGATCTGGTGCGTCTTGGTTCGTTCTTGGAATATGCGTTTTTCACTGGGCTTGAGCGTTAGGGAAGCCCGGAAGTCTCGTCACCCACGGTCAGCAGGCCGGGCGAAGCATGGCCCGATACAATTTTGTTAATGGCATTGCACCCCTTCTCCCAGGGCCTCGATAGGTTCAATCAGATAAATGACCTAGGAATACAGCCAGTGGAGATCAACAAATTTTTCCAAGCAAATTGGGTGAGAGCGTGTCGGTATAATTAGCACGCCGTGCATTGCAGCGTCCGAATTTAGGGATCTTCTCCTTCACTGCATGCACGGGCATCAACTTTGCTGGTCTTGGAACTTGTGCTATGTAGAGTATTGAGCGTCGACCATACGGACCAGTCTGCAGGGCAAGGCCGCTCTTGGAATTCATGAGTAGCAATAGACCCTGAAACTTTGGGCGACTATCGATTTAATTGGGTACGACGGCGAGTACAGGGACGCTTGTACAGTTCGCAAGGCATAACTACAGTCAGGCTGCGATATGTTTATCCGCGGCAGCCGTCAACGAGTCAGGTGAGTGGAAACTCCTGGAGTAAACCTTGGAAACAGGTTTCCATTGATGCCACAGGGAGCTGACGGTCTCGAAAATGTTCAGATAGAGTTACGGCCCAAAAAACACCGGATTTCAACTTGGATTTCAACAGTGAAGACAAGGTAAGGAAGTGAAGCAGGACAAGATGGATGTAATAGGTGCTTCTCACTGTCAGCAGGGCAGAATTCCGTCCAAAAGCACGCCAACCTCGAAGTCCGAATCACTGTCGGCGTCTGGACGCGGACACGTTCTCCTAGCGGGGACGAGGGACCATGAGAGACGATTCGCATCATGCTATGCTCGGAGGGGGTATTGACTTGTTCAATTGAAACATGCAGTGCATCGAAAAATTTGTGGGATCCTTGCCAAGTCAATCCTAAACGCACATGGAAATGAAAAAAAATTGACCAGTTGAAGATATCGCGCGAACAGGCGCGCGTCAATAAAGGATCTCTCACACTGCACCAACTAACGTGAAGCTTCAAAAATAATGTCGGTCCGAACCTACATCATGAAGGTCCGATATGGCGCTCAAGATATGGAGTGACATATACCGTTGCCCAGCAGGGTCAGGTTGGATCTTGCTTATGAATCACGACTCGGTCGTCGCCGGGGTCCTTATGGCGCTCGGCTTCAGATGTTGTGACACGGCTGGTGTAAGTAAAATTGTGAATACCTCTATATACAGTAACTTAAGATTACCGTTGCGAAAGTGAAACAGGCCCAGCCAGTGACTAACAAACGGGATCGTGCAGTGCACCATTGTGGGTTTGCTGGTGATGCCAGACAGGCTCGAAGCATGATGGATGGGCAGATGGGCATTGTTACAAAGCTCCTCTCTGAGGAACATGCGGACGACTTCCGCCTCTACCTTTACCGATCACGTGACAATGACATCACAGAGCCTAGACTGACCATGTGACAATGACATCACTGACCACATGACCATGATGTCATCATGGTCATTGCCCTTATCTATCCGGCACGGATCTACCTGATCATCTG